CTGAGCTGTTCAGAAAAGCTTTCAAGGGCCTATGTCAATTCTGTTCTCCTGTCCACCGGATCTGACGACAGCTCTGATTGTTGTCTGCTTAAGATGTTCTGTGTTTTGGATTGTTTTTATTATTTTTATAAAATGTTTTCTTTTCTTCAGCGCCTTGGGTGTAGGAAAGTGCTTTACAAATTAAATTAATAATTATTATCTACAAATCACCTTTCATCATAAATAACCACTCATTATTTGTAGGTCAGTCGGTCACAATTTACCCATGATACATTGCAGTTTTGATCCTCTCGAACAAGGCCTATGCTTGTGTGGGCCACGGTTTCGACTGCTCCTACAGGTTTGCTTTGGTACTGCAGTTTAACTGACGCCCGGCCCAGAAAGCCAATTTTCATAGATGGCCACAAAGAGAAGTCAGGTTTGAAAATATCTAATAAGACACTTAAGGCATCATGTTTGTGCACAAAACATTAATTGAATTATTCATAAAATTGTCGCTTAGGCCCCAAAAAAATTTCATCACTCACAGCCAAAGATATTACAATTGTATATTAATTCAATGTCTGCAATGATGTCGTCGTTGCTCGTGCTGCTCCCTGCGCGTCCGGTCCGTGCTATCCTGGATCTTTTGCACGTCCCTACCCCATTTTAAGTTAAAATGTTATAGAAACTTAATCGAGAATTTGAAATTTGTCTGCCGAAGTTGGGGATTGGGAGTGTTCAGATTCATTCCGTTTTGTGAGTAATTCTTTTTTTTTTTACAAAAATGTAACGTTAGACTTTAATGCCGTAGTTGTACATTTCCATCTAATGAAAATGTATGCACTCACTAAGTCTGCTAAATGACTAAAGTGTAAATGTAATGGTCGCGTCAGGGACAACAGTTGTTGACAACTGTAACATTGTAGCTAAGCCTACATTTTTTTTCAATTCCTCATCAATCCACGTGGATTTAACTGTTTTTACAGTCATTTTCTTAATGGGTGCATGCTTATTATTAACTGGAATAAGCAATGTCATAAATGTGTTAAGTGCAGCATCTGGTTGCTCCTCATTATTAGTAAAAATCACTACAATAAATGTGCTTTAGCCATCACCCTGGCCTGATATTGGCTACACTATCTAATTACTTCCATTTCCTTACTGCGGGAAGCAGGAGTAAAGGACACTGTGCCCTGTGTTGTTGTGTTGCTGATGTGGTGATACTGATGATTTGTCAGCACAGATGGTTTGTTTACATAGCAGATTAGGATAATTTATGTGGCAGGTTAGGATAGTTCTCGCCGAAAGTTAGGTGAATTAACGTGGCAGGTTAGGAGAACTAACACCAGGTTAGGAGAATTAGGTTAAGGTTAGGAAAAGGGTTATGCTTAGGAAAAGGGTTATGCTTAGCTACAATGTTACAGTTGTCAACAGCTGTTTTCCCCGACGCGACCATTAGATGGAGCTGTAGGCCTACTCCATCTAGCCATAACGGTAGAAACGTAAACAAACCATCTGTGGCTACAAATCATCAGTATCATAACATTGGCTTGCAGCGCAAACTCTCCCCATTGAGCAGTGTAGACTGTATCACGGTGACATCCAGACCAATATTACAAGTTATTTATTGTGTATAGGCTGCTATCCCATATGAACAGTCCTTAGCCGTGGTATATTGGTCATATGCCACACCCCCTTGGGCCTTATTGCTTAAATAAATCCTGTTTGCGTATGTGCATAACTATAGATAAATCCGACAGGAGAGTTTGAGTGATGAAAGTTGGACAGAGGATCTCAATCTCTGTGCAAGAAACACTTGGACGAACTTCAAAAAACGAATGTTGGCTATTTTCTGGCAATTGTGCCATTATTATGTGCCAGATGTTAAGACTCCAAACCGTTATAAATGGCCTATTTGCGAGATTTACTTGTTATTTCAATAGGCATAGGCTACTGACTAAAATCTGGGTTTATAATTTAATAAAACTTTTCCATGGTTTGCTGAGCTAGATGCAGGTAGCCAATAGCCCCTAATAGGCCTTCAACCCAAAACATCACATTGCTGTAGGGCAGGCTATTTTATTAGACATAATTAACAATTCTAGCCAAGATTGTTTGGTAACATAACTATGAACTAATGTTGCACCTGTAGTACCACTGTCACTCTCCTAATGAGCTAAGATAGATACCCAAAAGTATATCAGGGCTAATCTTCATGTGTTCATACTCAAACACACAGTTCTCTCAAAGTGTTCATCCCAGTCTGTTAGGAGACACTTCTTTGATCCCAGGTGTATCAGGGCTAGAAACCATAGGGTCTCTGTTATGGGAAGCCTTCTCTGACTGGACTTCACACAGAACCCTGTCTGTATGGTGTCATCGTGTTGTCTCTCAGAAGGTTCGGGGCTGGGAACAACCACTTCAGATGGTGGTTTAGTGCCCTTTTTACACAACTGAGCCAAGCTGAACTGCACTGGTCTGGTTATGCATCATCATAGTGCTGGAATGGACAACGCAAAAAAATAAATAATGTGAGTTAGGCTAGTTTTGTACGGGTCAGCATGATACAGTGTATTGTGAGTTCAGATGGGTCCAGGCCAGATAATCAGTTTGCAGACAGACAGAACTTAACCCATCCAGATAGTGAAACCGATCGGTCTGATAATTTAGGAAGCACTGTAGGAATTAGACACCTGTGTCCTTATAGCAGGGATGAGAGATCTCTAACTCCATACCTGGAGAGCCACTGAGTATGTAGGCTTTTGTTCCAGCCCAGCAGAAACACACCAGGCCCTGATTCAACTAATTGTGGTTCAGAGTCAGACTGAAGACCATGATTCGTTGTTTATTTGAAATTGAAACAGTGCTGGGCTGTCACTAAAGCCTGCGCACCCAGTAGCACTCCATTACAGTTGGAGTTGGAGAGAGTGCATGGGCTTTTCTTTTGCCCCACCAAATAGACTTGCGCAAACTTTATGCAGGTTAAGTGAAACACAAATATTAGAGATCGATGATCTCAGTCAGACTCGTATTAAATCAAACAAGAGAGTCGGAACAGGATAGGTTGAAGAACATTAGAGTAGAGTGAATCGTTGTTACTTCCATTGAAATAGGCCATTCTATTTATATGGTTACTTCATTGAGATCATGTCACAATGTGGAAGGATAATTGGGTCACTATTTTAGCTCATGTAACACAGGCTCTCTTTTTCTTTCTCGTCCACCAGGCCTGGCCTGAGCCAGAGAGAGAGAGAGACGGCACCTCCTCACCACACTACAGCCCAGAGCTGTCTGTCTGTGGTCCACACCAACTTTGACCCCTAGAGGAGCCATATTTGTAAGTCTCCGCTAACCTCAAATCAATGTTTTGGAGCATGAACAAGATTTGACTTGTTAGTATGTAGGCTAGCGGCAGACAAATCAGCAGAAAATACATACTACTAAAGCCATGCACTTTAACATATTTACAAATAATTTGTAGACTGGAAATGGACCGCAAGAAGCCCAAACAGATATAATATTTGACTAAAACATAATCATTTCAAACCTAGCTTACATTTGTATACGATCACATATTTCTCTATTATGCATGGCAATACTTTGGAACAGATTTCCAAAATATAAAGCCAATATAGCCTCATTATTTTATTGTGTTACTATTTCCTTTTTTTATTTAGCAAATTCTTCGTACTTTTAAAAGTCTACACCTGTTGTATTCGGTGCATGTGACATAATATTTGATTTGAAGTACAGTAACCAAAAAACAAATCAAAACATATTTTATATTTGAGATTCTTTAAATAGCCACCCTTTGCCTTGATGACAGCTTTGCACACTCTTGGCATTCTCTCAACCAGCTTCACCTGGAATGCTTTTCCAACAGTCTTGAAGGAGTTCCCACATATGCTGAGCACTTGTTGGCTGCTTTTCCTTCACTCTGCCGTCTGACCCAAACCATCTCAATTGGGTTGAGGTCGGGGGATTGTGGAGGCCAGGTCATCTGATGCAGCACTCCATTACTCTCCTTCTTGGTAAAATAGCCCTTACACAGCCTGGAGGTGTGTTGGGTCATTGTCCTGTTGAAAAACAAATGATAGTCCCACTAAGCCCAAACCAGATGGGATGGCGTATCGCTGCAGAATGCTGTGGTAGCCATGCTGGTTAAGTATTACTTGAATTCTAAATAAATCACAGACAGTGTCACCAGCAAAACACCCCCACACCATAACACCTCCTCCTCCATGATTTACGGTGGGAACTACACATGCAGAGATCATCCGTTCACCCACACTGGGTCTGGTTGGAACCAAAAATCTCAAATTTGGACCCCAGACCAAAGGACACATTTCCACCGGTCTAATGTTTCTTGGCCCAAGCAGGTCTCTTCTTCTTATTGGTGTCCTTTAGTAGTGGTTTCTTTTCAGCAATTCGACCATGAAGGCCTGATTCACACAGTCTCCTCTGAACAGTTGATGTTGAGATGTGTTTGTGACTTGAACTCTGTGAAGCATTTATTTGGGCTGCAATTTCTGAGGCTGGTAACTAATGAACTTATCCTCTGCAGCAGAGGTAACTCTGGGTCTTCCATTCCTCTGGCGGGCTTCATGAGAGCCAGTTTCATCATAGCTCTTGATGGTTTTTGTGACTGCACTTGAAGAAACTTTCAAAGTTCTTGAAATGTTCCATATTGACTGACCTTAATGTCTTAAAGTAATGATGGACTGTCGTTTCTCTTTGCTTATTTGAGCTGTTCTTGCCATAATATGGACTTGGTCTTTTACCAAATAGGGCTATCTTCTGTATACCCCCACTACTTTGTTACAACACAACTGATTGGCTAAAACGCATTAAGAAGGAAAGAAATTCCACAAATTAACTTTTAAGAAGGCACACCTGTTAATTGAAATGCATAAAAATAAAGAAAAACCCTTGAATGAGTAGGTGTGTCCAAACTTCTGACAGGTAGTGTATGTCTTCCTCTCATTTCCTTCTCGCTCTCTCATCGGACAGCTGTGGCCATGGAGTCCTCTGATGAAGAGGAGGGGCGCACCTTCGTCCAGGTGGTCAGTGAGAAGTACAACCCAGAGAATTTCCCATACTGCCGTGGGAACGGCATGGGCGTCGTGGTGCTTTCCAGTCCACAGGGGTTGCCCATTAAAGGTCAGAGGTCAAGGCGCTATAGATCAGTAGCTTATGCTGCCTTCAAATGCTCACCGGAAGTGGGAAATACGTGGTTCCGACTGGGCAACAACCACTTGAACGGCCCTCCGAAGTTGGACTGCCGAGTGGGAATGTTGGAGATAATTTTACCAGAGTTGTGACGTTTTGTCACTGACCTTTCACCTTTTCAATCAAAGGATGATAAAGCATGATTTTTGGCATTGTTAAACTTATCAATGTGGATAATGTAGCTAGTTTGACCATATTGTCAACGTTAAGCAAGCTAGCTAACTTTATCATTAGCAACATTAGCTAGCTCATCTAGTTAGATTTAATCTCATTGGATGAGGAATTATTCCGTCTTCAAAACCAGTTCCAACGAGCATTTGAAGGCCGCATTAGCACAGTGATTGAGTAATAACTTTGTGATTAGGTGGCCTATGCATCTTTTCTCTCTAGCATTGCTAAACTGTGTTGGTGCATGCAAGATGATTTATAGTCTGAACATGTCTGAAAAAGTTGTTATTCCTCAAAGCAGAAGAGTCAAGGGCCACTCTACAGCCTACTTACCTTTTTACTCAGAAAAACATAATTAACACGTAAGAACTCTATGTAGGCCTACTCATATGCATTATACAAGGTAATCACACAAGTTATCTTCTAGTTACCCAGGAATACTGAGAACTGCATGTAGGCCTACTTGTATCCCTTATATATGGTATTCACACACATGAGTCATTCTCTCATGCCTTAGCTTATCCCCAAGGATACTGCCTATGATGTGATGTAAATAAATAATAACAATAAGTGATACCAGGCTGTTGTCCATCATATATTGTGAATGTGATTCTTATTGACTGTGCAGTTTATGTGATTCAATAAAGAACAATTATTCACTAGAAAGATTGTTGTCTCTCTCCAGATCGTCTGAATCTGCCGAGTGTGCTGGTGCTAGACGGCTGTGGCATCAGTAAAGCTGGGGATGAAACTGAGGTGGCCACCTTTTGTGCCCATGTGGTGGAGCTGGACCTGTCCCACAACCAGCTGCAAGACTGGGGGGAGGTGGGTACTGTAGTTCTCCTCATCCTCCTAACCCTGGCTGTCATGTTATGCACCATTAATTTAGCAGCAGCTAGCTATTAGCAGGAAGGCTGGCACTACACAGTTAATGTTACACACTTTTGTCCACTTTTTTGGTGAAAGTTTGCCTTATTTTCTACACATCTAGGGTGTTGTTGTTTTATCCATACAGTTTTTTAAAGTCCAATAGCTGGTTATTTTGTAATGTCCAGCATCTCCTGGCTAGCATTAAATAAGCATGTAGCAATGCTAATGGGAACGGACTATATCCACTAGCGGTTACCTACCACATCACCCAAAACAATTGCCCAGAGACATCATTCAACAAACAAATTCAACAAACAAGACCTTCATCTGTCAGTCAGTACCAATTGCACCAATCTGTCTTTGGGTTGCCAGATCTGCAGCATTGTGTATACTGTCTACAATAGGGTTGCCAGTATAGTCCGTAAGTGTGATAGCTCCAATCTGTTTTTTTGGGGTTGTGAGATCTGCACGATCGTGTCTAACATCCCCAACCTGGACTTCCTTAACCTGAGTATGAACCCTCTGAGTGGGATTGAGCTGGAGCCAGGCCTGGCTGAGGTGTTCTTCCGGGTCCGCCGCCTGGTTCTCATCAACACACGTGTCACCTGGGACACGGTACACACACTCACACGCCAGACCCCTGAGTAAGTCATGACAGACACTGGACTGCGAATCACAAGGCACACGTGAATACATGAATGTGTGTGTTTGTATTTAGCTATTTGTCTTAGGTATTTTGTGTGTTTTTGCCCTTAGACCTTTGACCTTCTCAAGTTCAGGCATGTCCAGGCATGTAGTATATTTACTTGTATCCATATCTAACATGTACAGTACCAGTCAAAAGTTTGGACACACTTACACACCTATTTGACCAAGAAGGAGAGTGAAGGAGTGCTGCATCAGATGACCTGGCCTCCACAATCACCCGACCTCAACCCAATTGAGATGGTTTGGGACGAGTTGGACCGCAGCGTGAAGGAAAAGCAGCCAACAAGTGCTGAGCATATGTGGGAACTCCTTCAAGACTGTTGGAAAAGCATTCCAGGTGAAGCTGGTTGAGGGAATGCCAAGAGTGTGCAAAGCTGTCATCAAGGCAAAGGGTGGCTATTTGAAGAATCTCAAATATAAATATATTTTGATTTGTTGAACACTTTTTTGGTTACTACATGATTCCATACAGTGAGGGAAAAAAGTATTTGATCCCCTGCTGATTTTGTACGTTTTCCCACTGACAAAGACATGATCAGTCTATAATTTTAATGGTAGGTTTATTTGAACAGTGAGAGACAGAATAACAACAAAAAAATACAGAAAAACGCATGTCAAAAATGTTATAAATTTTTTTGCATTTTAATGAGGGAAATAAGTATTTGACCCCTCTGCAAAACATGACTTAGTACTTGGTAGCAAAACCCTTGTTGGCAATCACAGAGGTCAGACGTTTCTTGTAGTTGCCCACCAGGTTTGCACACATCTCAGGAGGGATTTTGTCCCACTCCTCTTTGCAGATCTTCCCCAAGTCATTAAGGTTTCGAGGCTGACGTTTGGCAACTCGAACCTTCAGCTCCCTCCACAGATTTTCTATGGGATTAAGGTCTGGAGACTGGCTAGGCCACTCCAGGACCTTAATGTGCTTCTTCTTGAGCCACTCCTTTGTTGCCTTGGCCGTGTGTTTTGGGTCATTGTCATGCTGGAATACCCATCCACGACCATTTTCAATGCCCTGGCTGAGGGAAGGAGGTTCTCACCCAAGATTTGACGGTACATGGCCCCGTCCATCGTCCCTTTGATGCGGTGAAGTTGTCCTGTCCCCTTAGCAGAAAAACAGCCCCAAAGCATAATGTTTCCACCTCCATGTTTGACGGTGGGGATGATGTCCTTGGGGTCATAGGCAGCATTCCTCCTCCAAACACGCGAGATGAGTTGATGCCAAAGAGCTCCATTTTGGTCTCATCTGACCACAACACTTTCACCCAGTTCTCCTCTGAATCATTCAGATGTTCATTGGCAAACTTCAGACAGCCCTGTATATGTGCTTTCTTGAGCAGGGCGACCTTGCGGGCACTGCAGGATTTCAGTCCTTCACGGCGTAGTGTGTTACCAATTGTTTTCTTGGTGACTATGGTCCCAGCTGCCTTGAGATCATTGACTAGATCCTCCTGTGTAGTTCTGGGCTGATTCCTCACTGTTCTCATGATCATTGCAACTCCACGAGGTGAGATCTTGCATGGAGCCCCAGGCCGAGGGAGATTGACAGTTATTTTGTGTTTCTTCCATTTGCGAATAATCGCACCAACTGTTGTCACCTTCTCACCAAGCTGCTTGGTGATGGTCTTGTAGCCCATTCCAGCCTTGTGTAGGTCTACAATCTTGTCCCTGACATCCTTGGAGAGCTCTTTGGTCTTGGCCATGGTGGAGAGTTTGGAATCTGATTGATTGATTGCTTCTGTGGACAGGTGTCTTTTATACAGGTAACAAACTGAGATTAGGAGCACTCCCTTGCTCCTAATCTCAGCTCGTTACCTGTATAAAAGACACCTGGGAGCCAGAAATATTTCTGATTGAGAGGGGGTCAAATACTTATTTCCCTCATTAAAATGCAAATCAATTTATAACATTTTTGACATGCATTTTTCTGTTTTTTTTTGTTGTTATTCTGTCTCTCACTGTTCAAATAAACCTACCATTAAAATTATAGACTGATCATTTCTTTGTCAGTGGGCAAACGTACAAAATCAGCAGGGGATCAAATTCTTTTTTCCCTCACTGTATGTGTTATTTCATAGTTTTGATGTCTTCACTATTATTCTACAATGTAGAAAATAGTAAAAATAAAGGATAACCCTTGAATGAGTAGGTTTGTCCAAACTTTTGACCGGTAGTGTATGTCCTGGATACTGTACGGTGGCTTGCGAAAGTATTCACCCCCCTTGGCATTTGTCCTATTTTATTGCCTTACAACCTGGAATTAAAATTGATTTTTTGGGGGTTTGTATCATTTCATTTACACAACATGCCTACCACTTTGAAGATGCAAAGTATTTTTTATTGTGAAACAAACAAGAAATAAGACCAAAAAACTGAACTTGAGCATGCATAACTATTCACCCCCCCAAAGTCAATACTTTGTATAGCCACCTTTTGCAGCAATTACAGCTGCAAGTCTCTTGGGGTATGTCTCTATGAGCTTGGCACATCTAGCCACTGGGATTTTTGCCCATTCTTCAAGGCAAAACTGCTCCAGCTCCTTCAAGTTGGATGGGTTCCGCTGGTGTACAGCAATATTTAAGTCATACCACAGATTCTCAATTAGATTGAGGTCTGGGCTTTGACTAGGCCATTCCAAGACATTTAAATGTTTCCCCTTAAACCACTCAAGTGTTGCTTTAGCAGTATGCTTAGGGTCATTGTCCTGCTGGAAGGTGAACCTCCGTCCCAGTCTCAAATCTCTGGAAGACTGAAACAGGTTTCCCTCAAGAATTTCCCTGTATTTAGCGCCATCCATCATTCCTTCAATTCTGACCAGTTTCCCAGTCCCTACCGATGGAAAAACATCCCCACAGCATGATGCTGCCACCACCATGCTTCACTGTGGGGATGGTGTTCTCAGGGTGATGAGAGGTGTTGGATTTTCCCCAGACATTGCGTTTTCCTTGATGACCAGAGTACCTTCTTCCATATGTTTGGGGAGTCTCCCACATGGCTTTTGACGAACACCAAACGTGTTTGCTTATTTTTTTCTTTAAGCAATGGCTTTTTTCTGGCCACTCTTCCATAAAGCCCAGCTCTGTTGAGTGTATGGCTTAAAGTGGTCCTATGGACAGATACTCCAATCTCTGCTGTGGAGCTTTGCAGCTCCTTCAGGGTTATCTTTGGTCTCTTTGTTAACTCTCTGATTAATGCCCTCCTTGCCTGGTCCGTGAGTTTTGGTGGGCGGCCCTCTCTTCGCAGGTATGTTGTGGTGCCGTATTCTTTCCATTTTTTAATAATGGATTTAATGTTGCTCCGTGGGATGTTCGAAGTTTCGGATATTTTTTTATAACCCAACCCTGATCTGTACTTCTCCACAACTTTGTCCCTGACCTGTTTGGAGAGCTCCTTGGTCTTCATGGTGCCGCTTGCTTAGTGGTTCCCCTTGCTTAGTGGTGTTGCAGACTCTGGGGCCTTTCAGAACAGGTGTATATATACTGAGATCATGTGACAGATCATGTGACACTTAGATTGCACACAGGTGGACTTTATTTAACTAATTATGTGACTTCTGAAGGTAATTGGTTCCACCAGATCTTATTTAGGGGCTTCATAGCAAAGGGGGTGAATACATATGCACGCACCACTTTTCCGTTATTATTTTTCTTAAATTTTTTGAAACAAGTTATTTTTTTCATTTCACTTCACCAATTTGGACTATTTAGTGTATCTCCATTACATGAAATCCAAATAAAAATCCATTTAAATTACAGGTTGTAATGCAACAAAATAGGAAAAACGCCAAGGGGGATGAATAGGCACTGTATTTCCATGTATCTCTTAGCTCCGGGGATCAGCTTCCCCTCCCCCAATCCTAACCTTAACCATTATTGGGGAAAATGCGAAACTGACCAAAGATCAGCATGTAGGGGCAACTTCACCTTACTCATATCTCATACCTTGTATTTGAATGCCATTTAAACATAGCTACCTCTCTGATGCTCACACTATCGCCCCCTGCAGGTTGGAGGAGCTCTTCCTTTGTCTGAACGAGTACGACCAAGTAGCCGAATCCCAGGTTCCCTGCCCCTCCCTGCGCCTGCTTCAGATCACAGACAACCAGCTACAGGAGTGGGGCGAGGTGCGTAAGTTTGGGCCCATGTACCCGGGCCTGCACAACCTGGTATTGTCCAACAACAAACTGGGCTCTGTGGAGGAGGACACACCTCGGGACACACTGCAGCACCTGTTTCCTAACCTGCGCAGCATCAACCTCAACAACTCAGGTATGCGAAGGGAGGGTCACGCGCTCGCATGCGCACACATACACAAGCATGCTCATACAGCATGAACACACACACATACACAGCATGAGGATACACGTCGCAAACACACACATGCACACAGCATGAAGATTCGCACACATACACACACACACAGCATGAGCATACAGAAAATATCCCTCTTTCCTCTACCCGATTATACTCTTTTCATCCACTATTCCAGTTTTCCTTCCCTTTTCTCCGGTTCTTACTACTCCTCTGCTTCTGTACCTCTCTCTTTCCCCTCTGCCGGACAGGGAACCCTTTGAAAATCAGTAGGTCTACTTAGAAGGGCTCAAGTTATTTTACATTCCAATGTATTTTAAATGTACATTTGGCATTTCAAGTCTTTTTCCCCTCATTTATGCTAAATAAATGAAATTAATGTACACACATTCCATCACAGAAAAGAGCCCTCTATGAGCCGTCTGATGTGAAAATAGATATATTGTATTGTACTACTTCCATACACCATATTCAATACTGTATCCTGGGATTCCATAGAGAATGAGTGCTGATAGTTTCCATATCCTAACTCGTGTGTGCGTGTGTGTGTGTGTGTGTCTTAAAGGGCTGAACCGATGGGAGGACATAGAAAGGCTGAATTTCTTCCCTAAGCTGGAGGAGGTGAGGCTGATGGGGATTCCATTACTGCAGCCCTACACCAACAAAGAGAGACGCAGCCTCACTCTTGCACAGTGAGTACACACACACCTTTTACATTTTAGTAATTTAGCAGACACTCTTATCCAAAGTGACATAGTGCTTTAATCTTAAAGTAGCTAGGTAAGACAACCACATTGCACAGTCATAGTAAGTCAAACCTTTCCTCAATAAAATAAAGCAGCTATCTGCAAAGTCAGTGTTAGTAAGAAAGAACAAGTGTTAGTGTTAGTGCAAGAAAGGTGCAAGTACAACGGTAGGGTGTGATTTATTTATTGGTTTTTTAATCGGGTTGGTGGTGTGCTGTGGGATTATTGAAGATACCTTTTGAAGAGGCACACACACAATTGAATACACACCTGTTTGATTTGTGTGATTTGTGTAAACATGACACACGTCACACGCACTTCTTTGTCCTTTTTGCAGGTTGCCATCTGTGTCTGTGTTGAATGGGAGTGTGGTGACGGAAGGGGAGAGAGAAGACGCTGAGAGGTTCTTCATCAGACACTACCTGGACATTCCAGAAGAGATGCTGCCTCATAGGTACTGTTGACACACACACTAGTTTGTTGAGGTGGAGCTTTGTCAGAGGAACTGTAAAACATGCGCATACACACACACATTTTTCTTCTGATAAGAACAACTTAATGTAAAACTTATCTCTGGTTCATAATAGCAAGAGCCCTCCTCTGAGACACCTACTGTACATTAACAACGGCCGGGAATCACTTTGAGTACCTCTCAACTACCTCCTACCTCTCTCTGCTTATGTTAACTCCCCCCAGTGTTCTAACACACCTGACATCCTGTAACATATTGTCATCTCAGGACTTCCCATGATGGGAATTTAGGTGGGGTAGGTTTGGTTTGGTTTGGGCCCATGCTGGAAAACTGATTGGCCCACGCTTTTCGCCAGCCGCATTCCACTTAACCCTCGTAGAATGCAACGGAGGGATTGGCGGGTGGAAAGTGTGGTCCCTGACTGGGGGAAAGTAACCTTTGCGAGACAATGGCGCTAGTCTCTGCCCACTCAATGACTTCTTTGTGCCTTGGAATACTCAGATCGGAAAACCGATACACAAGGTGGCAGGTAGATTTTTTTTAGACCTCCTCCTCCTTCGCTCGTTTACGCTCTCTTTTCTTTCTTAAGGGGGGATTGAGAGGTTGACTCATTTCCCTGTGTAACCGGAGCTGATGTAGCCGAAAACATGACTCCAAACCTACACAGCGCCCCCACAGTGTCTCAGATTAATCAGGGTACTGCAATGGAAGTGTCTCAAAGCCTCCAACCATTCTCTTTAGGTTTTCTTTTGCTCTTTGCTTTCTCTCTCTCCTTGCTTTTAAACTGCATTTACTTGCTCTTGGGTCTAAGCCAGTTTCTTTGAGTGTGCGCATGTGTGTTTGTGTGTGTGGGTACACGTGCACGTGTGTAAGAGTGTGTTGGATGCGGTCAGTGAGCACTGGAAAGGACTTAGGCGGCCTTTCGGCGGAGGGGCTATGAGAGAGGAGGGGCTATGAGAGGGGTGGGTAAGGATAGAAGGGAGAGGGAGAGGATTGGGCTTGAGATAAGGAGAGTGAAAGAAAAGAGCCGTTAAATTCTATAACCACTTAAAAGGAAGCGATTCCCAAACCTTCCATAACAAAGCGATCACCTACAGAGAGATGAACTTGGAGAAAAGTCCCCTAAGCAAGCTGGTCCTTGGGCTCTGTTCACAAACACAAACAGACCCCACAGAGCCCCAGGACAACAACACATTTAGACCCAACCAAATCATGAGAAAACAAAAAGAGCAAACTAGAATGCTATTTGGCCCTAAACAGAGAGTACACAGTGGCAGAATACCTGACCACTGTGACTGACCCAAACTTAAGGAAAGCTTTGACTATGTACAGACTCAGTGAGCATAGCCTTGCTACTGAGAAAGGCCACCGTAGGCAGACCTGGCTCTCAAGAGAAGACAGGCTATGTGCACACTGCCCACAAAATGAGGTGGAAACTGAGCTGCACTTCCTAACCTCCTGCCAAATGTATGACCATATTAGAGACACATATTTCCCTCAGATTACACAGATCCACAAAGAATTCGAAAACAAACCCAATTTTGATAAACTCCCATATCTACTGGGTGAAATACCACAGTGTGCCATCACAGCAGCAAGATGTGTGACCTGTTGCCACAAGAAAAGGGCAACCATTGAAGAACAAACACCATTGTAAATACAACCCATATTTATGTTTATTTATTTTCCCATTTGTACTTTAACTATTTGCACATTGTTACAACACTGTATATATACATAATATGACATTTGAAATGTATTTATTCTTTTGGAACTTCTGATGATTACTGTTCATTTTATTGTTTATTTCACTTTTGTTTACTATCTACTTCACTTGCTTTGGCAATGTTAACATATGTTTCCCATGCCAATAAAATTATATAGACAGGTGTGTGCCTTTCCAAATAATTTCCAATCAATTGAATTTACCACAGTTGTAGAAACATGGCAGGGATTGTCAATGGAAACAGGATGCACCTGAGCTCAATTTCAAGCAAAGGGTCTGAATACTTATGTAAATAAGGTATTTCTGTTATATATTTATTTTTAGCAAAGATTTCTAAAAACCTGTTTTCGCTTTGTCATTATGGGGTATTGTGTGTGGATTGGTGAGGATTTTTATTTATTTAATCAATTTTAGAATAAGGCTGTAACGTAACAAAATGTGGAAAAAGTGAAGGGGTCAGAATTCTTTCTGAATGCGGGGGATTGATTATTTTATTATTATTTTTATTTTAGTCATTTAGCAGACGCTCTTATCCAGAGCGACTTACATTGATCCGGTGACCTACAAAGGCTGTAATAAACTGTCATAGCACCAATTAAAAAAGTAAGCATTGGCCGTTTATTACATCACTTTTTTCACATGCTGGGGTCGCAAATTTCTTTTTAAATAAAAATTGGGTCACGGGCCAAAAAAGTTTGGAATCCCTGCCATAATGTGTGTACAAGAGAGCATGCCAAATGACCAATCACCACCGTTCTCTCTACCAAATGACAAATCCCAACCTCCCGTCCATTCTGTCTCGTCTCCACAGGTACCATGTCCTGGTGTCCAAGTACGGACGGCTTGCCCCACTGGCCGAGGTGGACTTGCGTCCACGCTGCATGGCCATGCTGGATGTGCGCTGGGGTGAGCGGAAGGAGACTCTAAGCTTGCGGTTGGAGCAGACGGTCGGAGAGCTCAAGAAGGAGCTCAGGGCCCTGGTGGGGCTGCCAGCCAATGGCATGCGGCTGTACTACATCGCCCGTGAGCTAGGCTCTGCGCTGGGACCTGAGGAGATGAAGTACGGCAGTCGGGCACTCCACTCGTACATGATCCAAGACGGGGACGAGATCCTGGTGGTGCCCAAGACTAAGAGCCGCACCATCTCGTCCACCTCCTTGGACTCCTAAGAAGAGGGGTAGTGTGTGTGTGGAGGACTCTTCTGGACAGCCAACTTTCAATGCTGTCTTTTTTTTTTTTTTTTACCAAATGACATTGATTGTAAAGATGTTTATTGGCAAAGCCCCTTACTGTATATAAATACATACACACACACACACACACACACACACACACATATTACTTACACATGTATGCTACACGCATACTATCACACTGAGGGTTCTATTTTTGGCTTGGTGCAAAGCACCGTTATTGTGAAACGCAAGTGGCACGTGACACCACTGAGATTTTCCATTGAATTTGGTTTGTCAAAATAAAGCCCAGAATAGTATTTTATCAGAAATATTAGTTTTTAATTAATGTTAGTACAATTAACATACCCTCCCTCTCTCACCCCAGTCTTAAATCATGTGCTGCAGATATCCCGAGATAACCCCTGAGTCAGAATCCCAGAGGGTGGTGCGCTGACCCCAACTCACACAGGCAAGGATGATAGAGCTTGTGACACACAGAGACCACACGGAACATCACTGACCCCAACTCACACAGGCGACCTGGCGGAAAGAGACAAGACAAGGCCGAGACGAAGGGGTTGGGTTGGTGGGCAGTGACTGTTAAAGGTGGAGAGAGAGGAGGATCTGGAGAAGGGGAGCTGCGCTCAGGTTGCTGCAGGTCTTCCTGCTGTCTGTTTCCCATGAAGGGAGCAGCTCTCTCCTCTGCCGTGGGGAGGGGGAGGGGGTGTTAAAGGGAGAGGCGGTGAACCTCAGGCCAGCCTCACAGAGTAACCACACACCGGCCGCTGTTTCACGGTCACTTCCTCTGTGCTTGGATTACAATGGGTTCACCCAACGGGCTGTGGCCTTCCTCACCTCTTGCTCTCTCGCTCTCTCTCTCTCCATCTTCCTCTCTCCCCGTCATCCACACCTCACATCCGTCTCACACACCCAACACCTCTTACTGGATCCAGTGTCCATTGTTTTAGTACACCCTGGGTCAACAATGTGCCCCCAGAATTTGTGTTCTCCCATTGGTCCATGTTGTTCAATCGGTGTCTTCAGATTCAGACACCTTGGTGGAAAGATGTGAGAAATACCCAATGGGAAATTATATCTTGTTGCTGCCCAGTCCTAGAGTCAATTTCACTCTGCTTTTGCATGAGGTTAGCTACTCTTCTTATACATGGTAGAAATCAATAAACCAAGGTGACGATGAAACTGGGTTTATTTACCAATCACTCTACCAATTATATTTCCCTTTTTAATCTAAATTCCTCTTTTTGATCTTTTTACTTTACGTATTATGCGGAAAAACCTAAGGAAACAAAGTTTGCACTGGTGCAAAAGCTAAATTAACGTTACCCTCAGTCTGTCAGAGCTAGGCTGTGTTTAGAAAAGTAGATGAATCTTGACCTTTGGGAATTACTTTAGGCACATCACAGGTGCTTCTTGATCCGTTAATATTGTGTTCGCTTGGTTGGTAATGGTAAAGTATGTAATATAGTTTATGTGGGCTGGGATCATGGTTACATTTTTTAACAGTGGGCCGTCATTTACTATGGAGGATTGCATGGACTTGTAACTTAAATTTGAGGGACCTACGATAAGAGTGTATGCTATAGTACATAGTGTATATACTATGTTTTTATGTTACATTTTTTGGAAGATGATCAGATCGATATTTATTGTTAAGTGATTCAGATTTTTTCCGAAAGCTTCAATGCTTCCAGTTTCAAGAAAATGTTTTCCCTTTTATCTTTGCTTAAAATCTAACTTACTGTACACACATAGATCATTTATGGACATATGTTTACCTGCAGACTGTTGTTAAATCGGACTTTATGCGTACCACTGTAATACACGTCTGTCTAAGACCCTGTAAAATCACCTTGCTATATGTAAATACATTTATCAGATAAATCTATTTTATGATGTCATTTTGCTTTATTGTGGTGATATTGTAAGGTTTTCTTTACTTTATGTTGGTAATGTTTTATTTTATAGCGCTATTTCAGATGGTATTTACCTACGGGATAACAATGGGTATTTTCTGCTACTCACTGTACACATACAGTACTTCAAAGAATTCAACATAGTTGGTAACTTCCACCAGGTGGTAAGTAGTTGTGTTTGTATCAATGAAACCAGGATGAAATTGGTATACAATATAATTAGGATTGTATCATATTATTTCCAAGTAAATATCGGACTAAAGAGTAATAAAGCGTTACTTTTTTTATGTACATGCTGTGTTCATAACCAAGTGGGAAGGTGGTATTTACCACATACGACTGGGGAAGAATCCACTTGAACGCCCCTCCAACTGGTAATTACTAGTATGAAACTCGTCTCATCCTGAGCTCCCAAATGCTGACCTCTGGCATCACCTACTAAGGAAATGACCTCAATAACAGCATTTTCGCCAGTTAAATGCAACAACAAAACATTATTATAAAGAGCAATGCGCTCAAAGAGCTTTATTTTCATGTAATCTGACCAAAGCCCCGTTCCAATCCAATTGCCAATGCTGTTTATTAAACTCCAGGCATTTACATTTGTTGGATGACATGAAAATAGAGCTCTTTGTCCACGCACACCAGTGGTGGGTTTGGCGTCGAAATGAGAATGCATTAGCAGAAAATAACCCCATACTCTAAAATATGGTGATGGATATTTGATGTTATGGGGCTATTTTGCTTCCACTGGTCCGGGGCCCTTGTTAAGGTCAACAGCATAATGAACTTACAAAGTAACAGAATATTTTAGGGTTAAATCTGATTGCCTCTGCCAGGAGGCTGAAACTTGGCCGCAAGTGGGTCTTCCAGCAAGACAATAACCCCAAGCACACATCCAAATCCACAAAGAAATGGTTAATTGGCTACAAACTCAGCATTCTGCAATGGCCATCTCAGTCTCCGGACTTGAAAACCTGTGGTTTGAATTGAAGAGGGCAGTCCATAAGCGCAGACTAATGATATCAAGGATTTGGAAGGATTCTGTATGGAGGAATGGTTTAAGATCCCTCCTAATGTGTTCTCCAACTTCTAAAACATTTTAGAAAAAGGCTCAGTGCCATTAACCTCGCAAGGTGGCAGGTAGCCTAGCGTTTAGAGACTCGAGCCAGCAACTGAAGGGTTTCCAGTTCGAATCCTGGGTCCAACTGGAAAAATCTGGCGGGAAGTGAGCTGGCAACCGGAGGGTTGCTGGTATCATGTCCTAGATGCCATTGCCTGCCGTTGTGCCCTTGAGCAAGGCACTTAACCCCCCACAACAACAGCTACCTGGGTGCCCAGAGTGGCAGGCCGCCGCACCTCTCCAAAAAAAAAACTGTATGTTTGGGTCTTTCAGAGGATTTGGGTTAAAAGCGTAAGTACAATTTCGGTGTGACCTTAATCTTAAAATGTATTGAAAATAATTTTGACCCCTACCTTTTTGAGAAAAAAATATGAGTACTTGTTAAACAAAATCTCTTTCTCTGAGCAATTGTATTAGTATAAAATAATATAATTTCCCAATTTTATTGAGCATACAATATAGCTCAGTATTTGAATTATTTATTTTATACAGTCATTTTTGCTCATCTTTATCAATTGCGTCTGTAATTTTGGACACCACTCTATACAATGTCACGTCATGCCTTATTTCCTTCCATCGAAATGGGAAACCTTCCTCAGGTGCATTCTCGTTGGCCTCTCACCTTTGTAAATTGAGTTATCTATTGCCCGATGCAGATGTCTGTACTCCTACACTCTAAAATGTAGGGGTTCAACAAGGGTTCTTCTAAGATCCTCAAAGTTCTTCTAAGAACCTTAGGGTTCTTGGCACTGAAAATTGCCCCCAAAAGGTTCTTCAAAGAACCCCATAGGAGGTGAGGTTAATGGAGGAACCTCCTTAGTTGGTCGGGGTTCTTGCAGGAACCTAACTGCCCAACTGAAACATTTCAATTTGAAAGGACAGCAGGTGCAGGCACTTAACTGAAAAATCTCAAGATCTCCTCAATTTAAGGTAAGGTTTGTCCCTTATATGATCTAAATTGATATTGTTTTATGATGTTACCATCTATCTTTTCATTTTTGTGCAACCTTTCTAAAACAGAAAATGGACACAATTCAATGGATATCCATCAACAAAGAGGTAAGACTATGTAGACTATAAGAATATGTTGAAAGCTAGCTGTATTGGGTGCAGATGACTGAACTGCTCACTTTTGTGTCTGTATCTGCAGGTATACAGTCGAGGAGGCATACAATGGTATGTCAATTGGTATTGGTATGTTATGCTGATCACATTTACCATCCTCCTCCCTTACCTCTTCAATGAATATCCCATAGGCCTCTACATTATGGACAACGTATGTTTATGAAAACCATTATCAAAACAGTTTTATTCATTTACATTCACCACAAAAACCAAGGTATGAATTCTGTCTTGTGCATGTTTTGTTAATTTTTATTTTTTATTTTTTTATTTCACCTTTATTTAACCAGGTAAACCAGTTGAGAACAAGTTCTCATTTACAACTGCGACCTGGCCAAGATAAAGCAAAGCAGTGCGATAAAAACAACAACACAGAGTTACATATGGGGTAAAACAAAACAAAGTCAAAAAAATACAACAGAAATACATATATATACAGTGTGTGCAAATTTAGCAAGTTATGGAGGTAAGGCAATAAAATAGGCTATAGTGCAAAATAATTACAATTAGTATTAACACTGGAATGATAGATGTGCAAGAGATGATGTGCAAATAGAGATACTGGGGTACAAATGAGCAAAATAAATAACAATATAGGGATGAGGTAGTTGGGCGGGCTAATTTCAGATGGGCTGTGTACAGGTGCAGTGATCGGTAAGGTGCTCTGACAACTGATGCTTAAAGTTAGTGAGGGAGATAAGTGTCTCCAGCTTCAGAGATTTTTGCAATTTGTTCCAGTCATTGGCAGCAGAGAACTGGAAGGAATTGCGGCCAAAGGAGGTGTTGGCTTTGGGGATGACCAGTGAGATATACCCGCTGGAGCGCAGACTACGGGTGGGTGTTGCTATGGTGACCAATGAGCTAAGATAAGGCGGGGATTTGCCTAGCAGTGATTTATAGATGGCCTGGAGCCAGTGGGTTTGGCGACGAATATGTAGTGAGGACCAGCCAACAAGAGCGTACAGGTCACAGTGGTGGGTATTATATGGGGCTTTGGAGACAAAACGGATGGCACTGTGATAGACTACATCCAATTTGCTGAGTAGAGTGTTGGAGGCTATTTTGTAAATGACATCGCCGAAGTCAAGAATCGGTAGGATAGTCAGTTTTACGAGGGCATGTTTGGCAGCATGAGTGAAGGAGGCTTTGTTGCGAAATAGGAAACCGATTCTAGATTTAACTTTCGATTGGAGATTCTTAATGTGAGTCTGGAAGGAGAGTTTACAGTCTAACCAGACACCTAGATATTTGTTGTTGTCCACATACTCTAGGTCAGACCCGTCGAGTGTAGTGATTCTAGTCGGGTGGGCGGGTGCAAGCAGCGTTCGGTTGAAGAGCATGCATTTAGTTTTACTAGTGTTTAAGAGCAGTTGGAGGCTACTGAAGGAGTGTTGTATGGAATTGAAGCTCGTTTGGAGGTTTGTTAACACAGTGTCCAATGAAGGGCCAGATGTATACAAAATGGTGTCGTCTGCGTAGAGGTGGATCTGAGAGTCACCAGCAGCAAGAGCGACGTCATTGATATACACAGAGAAAAGAGTCGGCCCAAGAATTGAACCCTGTGGCACCCCCATAGAGACTGCCATAGGTCCAGACAACAGGCCCTCCGATTTGACACATTGAACTCTATCTGAGAAGTAGTTGGTGAACCAGGCGAGGCAGTCATTTGAGAAACCAAGGCTATTTAGTCTGCCAATAAGAATGCGGTGGTTGACAGAGTCGAAAGCCTTGGCCAGGTCAATGAAAACGGCTGCACAGTACTGTCTATTATCGATCGCGGTTATAATATCGTTTAGGACCTTGAGCGTGGCTGAAGTGCACCCATCTGTTAATCATCTGTATAATTACTATTTTGGGGATTCACAGACTTCACCCTCCCTACACCTCTGATGAATATAACAGGAAACCTGCTCGATCACAATGCACTGCAAAATCATTCTGGCTATGGATACGGAGAATATCAACACATTAACATAAACACGCCAGAGGATATACCCATTGGACTTGGGGCTCTGCTGGGAGTTTACCTCATATTTAGATTTTTTAATTCTGCTTTGCCACTAAAATCATAATAAACACTGAGAAATAAAATATTGTGGTTATTGTTATGCATATTATTATTATTAATAATAATAATATTAATAGGGGAGGAAAATGAACCCCAAAAGGTTCTTCAAAAGGTTATTTGAGGAGCCATTAAAAGGGGTTCTTTGAATAACCCTTTTAAAGTGTTCTTCGAATAACTTATAGGTGTTCCCCCACAGTTTCAATTTGAAGAACCCCTAAAGGATACTCCAGGAACCTTTTCTTTTTTAGAGTGTATGGTTGGCTGGTGTCCTTCTGAGAGTCTAACTATACTCGTTTGCCCCAAGATATATGGTCCACTGGCTTTAGTTAAGTCATCATTTATAGTTTTAACTGATCTGAGTTATTGCCCTCCTGACCTACAAAGTTTTGTGGGAAAACTGAAAAATCCACCTACGTACTGCAGTCACCACCATGGAGCACAAGTCTTCAAACTGGAGCTGAGCCAGTCCAGTCTCACAACCGCCCGGAACACTGCAACAACTTGGCTGCAAGATAATCAGGCTTAATTGTGTTCACCGAGCCTGGAGGTGCCGAAAGCTCCTCCTCCCCTCTCTCCCCATCCTCCAGGCATGGTGTGAGCCACACAAGACACATTTGGCTGATGCCATCAGCGCCACACTCAGCCAATTCTGGATGTTTGCTTAAAGCACCCAGCCCGCCGGCTCCAAATCCCAACCTCCAGCCCCAGCAGAGGCTCTGTCACTACGCAGCAGATGGGGCTGAGGTCCCCTTGGCCTGGGCCTTCTCTGACTGGAGCACCAGGGTCGCCAGTTGAAGTTCCTCCACAGAGGAAAGACCGGGCTGCGATGGGGTTACCAGGCCGTGACAACAGGGCTGTCCCGCTAATGCAGGGTCACGCCGAGGTTGGGAGGTGTTGGGGGGCGAGTTGTTGCGTTACCTCTTCACGCCCTTGTCCCGTACCCAAGGCCTGGCCGGGCAGGCTGTATCCTGATCTCCCACATTGCATTTTGGAGCAGAAGCAAGGGCAGTGAGAGCTGAACGGAGCCCATTGTGTGCCCAGGAGAAGGAGTCATTTGGGAAGGCGAGGTTTAGGTTACCACAAGGAGGTTCTACATTGTGGAGGAAAGAACAGGAGAGGAGGGCAGGGCATAGGGGGAGGTTAGAGGGTTGATATGGAGTGGCCCACTCTGGGGATTGAATGACTGTTGCACTGAGCTCACCCGGAATCCAGTCCAGGACCTTTTTTTGGAAGGTCAAGCTTGATGGGCTCTCCAGAACTTCTGATGTTCAATGCACCAGACTTTGTTCCCACAAAATACCCTCACCTGTCACTGTGGTCCCACAGAAACTGTTGATGTAATGCTTTTTGACTTATTGAAGTAACTGGATCAGTCCGTTTCAACCATTACTATTTTATTTTCTCAGACCATTTAGAAGTAAACCTCCTTGTCAGCAAGACTGTGTTCCTGGAAATATCTCCGTCATCCTGTCCTTCATTGAGGCATAGATGTGTGCTACCTTACATGGGGCAAATATGCAATGTCACCTTAGCTGAGCTCAGTATGAAAAAAACGATTATACAACACTGTCCCTATTCCCAGTGAGCTAAATGGAGGGAAAGTGAAAGACCTTTATCCGCTCACTATCATGTCCTTGTTGGCTAATGAATTGTGTGTGGGCGGGTGAGTGTGTGTGTGTGAGTGAATACATGCGAGAGTGGGAGTTCAAGTGAGAAAATCAGGCCTATTGTCCCCATCTCAATGTCTCCCACTTCTCCTCGTCCTCGACATTTCCCAAAACACCGTCCGTTAGCACAGGAGGATCCCGGTCCCGGCAGGCCCACTGGGATCATGTTGTTTTTTTCTCCCCTTTTGTGTGTCACTCTCTTTTCACAAGTTGATAAAGAGTATGTGCATTTACACAACAACATGGGAGGAGTAAAATAATCCACCACAGAGAGCCCCTATACTGGTCAATGGGAGCCCCGGGTCAGCCCTCAGTCCTGCAGCCTTTCAAATCAAATTTTATTTGTCACATGCGCCGAATACAACAGGTACCTTACAGTGAAATGCTTACTTACAAGCCCTTCACCAACAATGCAGTTTTAAGAAAGAATACCAAAAAAATGCAAATAGTCTGGGTAGCCATTTGATTAGATGTTCAGGAGTCTTATGGCTTGGGGGTAGAAGCTGTTTAGAAGCCTCTTGGACCAAGACTTGGCGCTCCGGTACCGCTTGCTGTGCGGTAGCAGAGAGAACAGTCTATGACTAGGGTGGCTGGAGTCTTTGTAAATTTTTAGGGCCTTCCTCTGACAGCGCCTGGTATAGAGGTCTTGGATGGCAGGAAGCTTGGCCCCAGTGATGTACTGGGCCATACGCACTACCTTCTGTAGTGCCTTGCGGTCGGAGACCGAGCAGTTGCCATACAAGGCAGTGATGCAACCAGTCAGGATGCTGTCGATGGTGCAGCTGTAGAACCTTTTGAGGATCTGTGGACCCATGCCAAATCTTTTCAGTCTCCTTAGGGGGAATAGGTTTTGTCATGCCCTCTTCACGACTGTCTTGGTGTGTTTGGACCATGTTAGTTTGTTGGTGATGTGGACACCAAGGAACTTGAAGCTCTCAACCTGCTCCTCCACAGCCCCGTCGATGAGAATGGGGGCGTGCTCGGTCCTCTTCTTTTTCCTGTAGTCCACAATCATCTCCTTTGTCTTGATCAAGTCATGAGTGAACAGGGAGTACAGGAGGGGACTGAGCACGCACCCCTGAGGGGCCCCCGTGTTGAGGATCAGCGTAGCAGATGTGTTGTCACCTATCCTTAACTACTGGGGGCGGCCGTCAGGAAGTCCAGGATCCAGTTGCAGAGGGAGGTGTTTAGTCCCAGGGTCCTTAGCTTAGTGATGAGCTTTGAGGGCACCATGGTGTTGAACGCTGAGCGGTAGTCAATTAATAGCATTCTCACATACAGTGGGGAGAACAAGTATTTGATACACTGCCGATTTTGCAGGTTTTCCTACTTACAAAGCATGTAGAGGTCTATAATTTTTATCATAGGTACACTTCAACTGTGAGAGACGGAATCTAAAACAAAAATCCAGAAAATCACATTGTATGATTTTTAAGTAATTAATTTGCATTTTATTGCATGACATAAGTATTTGATCACCTACCAACCAGTAAGAATTCCGTCTCTCACAGACCTGTTAGTTTTTCTTTAAGAAGCCCTCCTGTTCTCCACTCATTACCTGTATTAACTGCACCTGTTTGAACTCGTTACCTGTATAAAAGACACCTGTCCACACACTCAATCAAACAGACTCAAACCTCTCCACAATGGCCAAGACCAGAGAGCTGTGTAAGGACATCAGAGATAAAATTGTAGACCTGCAAAAGGCTGGGATGGGCTACAGGAAAATAGGCAAGCAGCTTGGTGAGAAGGCAACAACTGTTGGCGCAATTATTAGAAAAAGTTCAAGATGACGGTCAATCACCCTCGGTCTGGGGCTCCATGCAAGATCTCACCTCGTGGGGCATCAATGATCATGAGGAAGGTGAGGGATCAGCCCAGAACTACACGTCAGGACCTGGTCAATGACCTGAAGAGAGCTGGGACCACAGTCTCAAAGAAAACCATTAGTAACACACTACGCCGTCTTGGATTAAAATCCTGCAGCACACGCAAGGTCCCCCTGCTCAAGCCAGCGCATGTCCAGGCCCGTCTGAAGTTTGCCAATGACCATCTGGATGATCCAGAGGAGGAATGGGAGAAGGTCATGTGGTCTGATGAGACAAAAATAGAGCTTTTTGGTCTAAACTCCACTCGCCGTGTTTGGAGGAAGAAGAAGGATGAGTACAACCCCAAGAACACCATCCCAACCGTGAAGAATGGAGGTGGAAACATCATTCTTTGGGGATGCTTTTCTGCAAAGAGGACAGGACAACTGCACCGTATTGAGGGGAGGATGGAGGGGGCATGTATCGCGAGATCTTGGCCAACAACCTCCTTCCCTCAGTAAGAGCATTGAAGATGGGTCGTGGCTGGGTCTTCCAGCATGACAACGACCCGAAACACACAGCCAGGGCAACTAAGGAATGGCTCCGTAAGAAGCATCTCAATGTCCTGGAGTGGCCTAGCCAGTCTCCAGACCTGAACCCAATAGAAAATCTTTGGAGGGAGCTGAAAGTCTGTATTGCCCAGCGACAGCCCCGAAACCTGAAGGATCTGAAGAAGGTCTGTATGGAGGAGTGGGCCAAAGTCCCTTGCTGCAGTGTGTGCAAACCTGGTCAAGACCTACAGGAAACGTATGATCTCTGTAATTGCAAACAAAGGTTTCTGTACCAAATATTAAGTTCTGCTTGTCTGATGTATCAAATACTTATGTTATGCAATAAAATGCAAATTAATTACTTAAAAATCATACAATGTGATTTTCTGGATTTTTGTTTTAGATTCCGTCTCTCACAGTTTAAGTGTACCTATGATAAATTACAGACCTCTACATGCTTTGTAAGTAGGAAAACCTGCAAAATCGGCAGTGTATCAAATACTTGTTCTCCCCACTGTAGGTGTTCCTTTTGTCCAGGTGTGAAAGGGCGGTGTGGAGCGCAATAGAGATTGCATCATCTGTGGATCTGTTGGGGCGGTATGCAAATTGGAGTGGGTCTAGGGTTTCTGGGATAATGGTGTTGATGTGAGCCATTGCCAGCCTTTCAAAGCTCTTCATGGCTACATATGTGAGTGGTACGGTCGGTAGTCATTTAGGCAGGTTACCTTAGTGTTCTTGGGCACAGGGACTATGTTGGTCTGCTTGAAACATGTTTGGTATTACAGACTGAGACAGGGAGAGGTTGAAAATGTCAGTGAAGACACCTGCCAGTTGGTCAGCGCATGCTCGGAGTACACGTCCTGGTAGTCCGTCTGGCCCTATGGCCTTGTGAATGTTGACCTGTTTAAAGGTCTTACTCACATCGGCTACGAAGAGCGTGATCACACAGTCGTCCGGAACAGCTGATGCTCTCATGATGTCAGGAAGCAACATTACACATTCAGTGGGAGAAATGGAATTTAGAGCATGGCAATAGCCACCCTATTTTGCCAGTATGTAATCTAGAGCCAGTTCATGCCTAGCAGTTACTGCCTTCAAATTCTGGACATCAGCTGAGAGGAGGGCGAAACCAGTAATGGTCAGATTCAGATGTGCCTGCATGGAGTAGGAAATGTTATTAATCCAATCCCCAAAAACGTTCATCCCAACCCCAGGGAAAAGAGATAAGCCAAAGAGCTCACCATTACTCAGGGAGAAACCATCAGCCAAATTATTATGGGCCATAACTTTCTTAACTCTCCCTGATGATTTCCTAGTAGTATTGCGTTTAGCATCCAATAGCATTAGTAGGGGAATAGTGGCCAGCTGTAATTGGGTCTGGCCAAGGTAACAACAGCCATTCCATGCACTAGGCAACTGCAAAAAACCTCTATCTCCACAAATCCACATAAAACCATTTGGGGCTCCCAATCCGGATTCAACAGCAGATATACAGTGAGGGAAAAAAGTATTTGATCCCCTGCTGATTTTGTACGTTTGCCCACTGACAAAGAAATGATCAGTCTATAATTTTAATGGTAGGTTTATTTGAACAGTGAGAGACAGAATAACAACAAAAAAATCCAGCAAAACGCATGTCACAAATGTTACAAATTGTTTTGCATTTTAATGAGGGAAATAAGTATTTGACCCCCTCTCAATCAGAAAGATTTCTGGCTCCCAGGTGTCTTTTATACAGGTAACGAGCTGAGATTAGGAGCACACTCTTAAATGGAGTGCTCCTAATCTCAGTTTGTTACCTGTATAAAAGACACCTGTCCACAGAAGCAATCAATCAATCAGATTCCAAACTCTCCACCATGGCCAAGACCAAAGAGCTCTCCAAGGATGTCAGGGACAAGATTGTAGACCTACACAAGGCTGGAATGGGCTACTAGACCATCGCCAAGCAGCTTGGTGAGAAGGTGACAACAGTTGGTGCGATTATTCGCAAATGGAAGAAACACAAAATAACTGTCAATCTCCCTTGTCCTGGGGCTCCATGCAAGATCTTACCTCGTGGAGTTGCAATGATCATGAGAACGGTGAGGAATCAGCCCAGAACTACACGGGAGGATCTTGTCAATGATCTCAAGGCAGCTGGGACCATAGTCACCAAGAAAACAATTGGTAACACACTACGCCGTGAAGGACTGAAATCTTGCAGCGCCCGCAAGGTCCATCTGCTCAAGAAAGCACATATACAGGCCCGTCTGAAGTTTGCCAATGAACATCTGAATGATTCAGAGGAGAACTGGGTGAAAGTGTTGTGGTCAGATGAGACCAAAATCGAGCTCTTTGGCATCAACTCAACTCACCGTGTTTGGAGGAGGAGGAATGCTGCCTATGACCCCAAGAACACCATCCCCACCATCAAACATAGAGGTGGAAACATTATGCTTTGGGGGTGTTTTTCTGCTAAGGGGACAGGACAACTTCACCACATCAAAGGGACGATGGATGGGGCCATGTACCGTCAAATCTTGGGTGAGAACCTCCTTCCCTCAGCCAGGCCATTGAAAATGGGTCGTGGATGGGTATTCCAGCATGACAATGACCCAAAACACACGGCCAAGGCAACAAAGGAGTGGCTCAAGAAGAAGCACATTAAGGTCCTGGAGTGGCCTAGCCAGTCTCCAGACCTTAATCCCATAGAAAATCTGTGGAGGGAGCTGCAGGTTCGAGTTGCCAAACGTCAGCCTCGTAACCTTAATGACTTGGAGAAGATCTGCAGAGAGGAGTGGGACAAAATCCCTCCAGAGATGTGTGCAAACCTTTGTGGCCAACTACAAGAAACGTCTGACCTCTGTGATTGCCAACAAGGGTTTTGCCACCAAGTACTAAGTCATGTTTTGCAGAGGGGTCAAATACTTATTTCCCTCATTAAAATGCAAATCAATTTATAACGTTTTTGACATGCGTTTTTCTGGATTTTTTTGTTGTTATTCTGTCTCTCACTGTTCAAATAAACCTACCATTAAAATTATAGACTGATCATGTCTTTGTCAGTGGGCAAACGTACAAAATCAGCAGGGGATCAAATACTTTTTTCCCTCACTGTAGGTATTCTGGTGATTGACTCAGAATAGGTGAGTGCATGGTGGACATCAAGCGAGCATCTATCAGTAGGTGGCAGGCCTGCATATCTTTTACAAGTTTCTGAGAACCCAACAGAGACATTCCCATCACTACAGAGGCAGAGTGGAGGCCTATAGGTAGGGTGAAGGTTAGTAAGTAAAGGTTCTATTTTATTTTTTCCAATGGTTAGGGGCAATGGGTAAGGGGGATGCATAGAACACTCAACAGCTGATGAGACGTTATAGATCCTTGATGTATATCTCATCCCCTTGAGGCAGACCTCTAGACCTGTTCTAAGGCTGAGTCATCACTGGGGAGTATATTTTTTTAACACCAATGGTGCGGTTGGATAGTCTGGAGTATTCTTGTGCTACATAGAGCTGCAGGCATTGGGGCTGGTTGTTAGTACCCCTCACACTTTGGTGGAGGTAGGAAAGAACAGCACACAAAGTTTGCTGGTCTGAGAGTGGAATTTCACTCTGGCTCTGGGGATTCTTTAACACTATAACATAGGAACCATTTGGTGCTGCCTGCCTGCTCAAATTTTTGACCATATTAACCCATTGGTTGCTGGTCTTTAGTTAGTTTCCCTGTATTTCTATCCCCGCTATATAAGGCATTTGGCTCAGGGTAAGAAGTAACATCAGTGCAAATCCTACTGGTTTAACAAAGCCCATAGTTCTAGCAATGTTGCCATCATGGTCATGGGTAATAACCTTAACCTCCACGAGGTCTTGCTTATCTGCTAAGGTCTTGGCGTCGTCTTCTGGCAGTGGGACAGGTGGTTCCATCCCTGACGTTACTGGACCTTCACTGCCGATAGGGTTGCAGCGATGACTTGGTAATGTCCCATCCATCTTGGTTGGCTCCACTTCCTCTTGTGGATCTTCAGCTTGATCTATTCTCCGATATCTACCGGGAGTTCGTCTGGTGGGCCCTGTTCCGGAGTCTCCTGAGTTTTCCTGTGTTGAGAGTGAAGAAATCTAACAGCATGGGTCAGTTCTTTCATGTACTTACACAAATCATCATCCAGTGTTGTCAAGTCAGTCTGTCGTGGTGTCATAGGCCTATGTATAGGGACGTTCATTGGTCGGCCAGTTAAGAGCTCGTGTGGGCTAAGCCCTGTACCATGGTCAATGCTGCTACGCATTTTCATCAAGACTAAGGGAAGGCATTCCACCCAAGATCTCCCTGTGGAGTGGCATGCCTTAGCAAGCCCCCCTTTGATCGTTTGGTTAGCCCTTTCGGTAATCCCGTTACTCTGTGAGTGATAGATGCAAACAAACTTTTGATCTATCCCTAGCTGGGTGGCCACCTGAGCAACCACATCTACAGTGAAATGGGTGCCATTGTCTGCAGATAAAGTTTCTGGTATTCCAAATCTGGGAATCACTTCCCTTACCAGAATATTTGCTACAGTTTTAGCATCACAATGTATAGTGGGAAAAGCTTCAACCCACCTGGTGAAGCGGTCAATTATCACCAGGCAGTATCTTTTCCTCTCCTTTCGTTCAGCCATGTCTATGAAATCCGTAGTCAAATGGGTGAACGGGCCAGCGCTGGAAATTTCCCTGGTTTCAGGGGGGTACCTTTACCAATGTTGTATTGCGTGGTATCCACTGGCCCCTACCCCTTTGATGGAATGTTTGTTGTGGGGGTAGGAGGGGACACGTGGTCTTTGTGTGACCAGGTGTCCCACAATGCCAGCAGACGATTGGCTGCCGTTGTTGAGGCATATAGGGTTGTGGATTTCCAAATGCTTGAGGAGGGAACTGCTGAGTTGCTGGTGGTTGTTAAAACTGTTCGCCAGCCGGCTGGTAGGGTGGTGTTACAGGTCCTGAAGGAGGGACAGGTGGCAGAACGGGTACTGGAGGTGCAGCCACCATCAGGTTACTTGGTTTACTTTTATCCAGCTGAGCTAGTTGAGCCTTTTTCAGTCGCAAGTCAATGCCACTTTTTCTTGACCTTTCTTCCTTCTTCATCTTTCTCCAGGCTCTACAATGGTGTCTGATGTGGTCTGCCTTCCCTGGGCCATCAAGCCTGTCCCACCCTACAGTGTTTGACAGTTTGTCTCACCCATTTAGGTAGGTTTCGGCATGCTCTGTCATAGAATACGTTTTCAGTAGTTTCAGTAGAATCAAATCTCTCTGTGGTTTCTCCATGCCACTCAGTCTTCATTCTGTCCATCCAGTCCAAGATTTCATCGTCTTCGGTATATATTATCTCACCCAGTCTAGAGACGTCTCTGGTGGTGGGAACATTTCCCTCAATTGTTGATAGAGAGCCTGCCTGAAGTGGGTTAAGGGCAATTCCACTTGGCCTCCTACCAGGTTAACACTATGCCATACAGTATCACATTGGCCTGGGGTCAAGACCTTTGATATGAGAGCTTTAAGATCTCCCATGCACAACTGATGGTGTGATGCTATCACGGTCTCAATGGTGTGTATCTATCTGTCAGCCCCTTTCGATACACGAGGTAGTTGTTTTGCAGCCTCCAAATCTCCATGGTTTATAGTCGTAATATGGTGTACCTGTCCCTGAGGTCTTTATCACCAAAGGGTAAGAGGTCTGCGGTGCGATTTCATCTTCTTCTGCAATATAGTCTTGTAGGGCAAATCCCACTGGGTCCTTTCCTTGCAATCTCAAAGAGGAGCGAGCTGGAGTTGTTCGAAACTCTTCTCTGATAGAGCCTCTGCATTCAGCCACCACTTTGGTTGGTGCCTTTAGCTGTTCACTTGATCTGTTCAGCTTGTCCCTTAGAGTTGAGTCATCATGTTCACTCTGATACTCAGCTGCTCCTGACTGTGAGGACTTCCATCTTTCCTTAGTCTCTTCTCTTGTTTCACCTACGCCATCATACTTGCTTTCTCTTTCTCTATCACGTTCTTTGTCTCTTCTTTTTTCTTTCTCTTTTGCACTTCTGTCCTTTTCTTTTCTCTCCTTTTCTCTTTTTCTTTCTTTGAGACATCTCTCCTCTTCTCTTCTCTCTCTCTCTCTCTCTCTCTCTCCTCTCTTCTTCCTCATCCTCGTCTTTATAACGTAGCTTTTTCATGGCAATTGCTCTGTTGGCGTTTGTTCTGATTCTTTTGTCTTCAGCTTCCATTAGGTCTCGGGCAGTAGTGACTTTAGGATAGAGGGAAGTGGTGATTGGTGTTGAATGACTTCTCGTATCCTTCATTATGTCCCCCAGCTCCTGATACATCTCACCCTTTTGTAGGGGTGGAAAATCGCTGTCATCACGTCTTGACAGTGAATCAGAGCCCTGATCTTCACCGTCCATCAGAGTAATTTCTCCCCGAATAACAACTCTCAATCCTCCACCTGCGCTGCTCTCAGAGGCTGTTCCTTCAATGCCAACGGACACTCCTTCTCTTGGGCCCTAATCACGAGGCAGAATCGTTAATCAGCGGATAGGTCCCTTTAAACTCATCTCCATTGTATGGGGGTGGAGGAGCATATGGTGGAGTGCTACACTCCAGTGGAGCCTCTCTACTTTGAGAGAGGTCACTTCTTTCTTCAGGCAGGTTGCTTTCTGCTGGCACCAGAATAGGTTGCCCTCAGTCTTCAATATGGATAGTGCCGTTACAGAGAACAATGTGGATTTCTTCTTTCCTTTCTTCTTATCACTCTGTCTTCTAGTCACAATATCTAAGACATGTTGATATTTAGTTTTATTAAATTACCCGTCTATGGGCCATCTGTAGTCCAGGGCATTTTGGTCCAATCATGCCATTTCTTAAAAACCCAGATAAAGTCTTTTTCCATGGTTGGGTATTTTCCTGCCAGAAATTGCAAAGGAGTGGAGGGCTTCATAGCAATGGGGTCCTCAGGTAGACTTGAGATCCCTTCTGTCATATCTCAAAAACCCTTTTTTATTTAGGTTCTGCGTTTAATAAAACTAAACAATGTGTATAATATCTCCTATATAAGTATGTAATATGCAACTTGTCCTCTAAGTCATGTAAGTCTGTTCAAAGCAGGGTGGTAATTAAACTTTAACTGTATCCCATGCAATATATGGGAAGTGGAAAACAAACCCCCTCCGTCAAGCAACCACGGTATAGTAAAAGGCTCAAGGGGACTCAAAAATGGGCACAAATCTTGGCGTGACCTCTACTATTATTCGGGTATAATCAGGATAATTCTCTTCCTCCAGAGGGGAAACTATCACTTCAAAACTACACTACCGGTCAAAAGTTTTAGAACACCTATACTCATTCAAGGGTTTTAACACATATGGAATCATGTAGTAACCAAAAAAGTGTTAAACAAATCAAAATATATTTTATATTTGAGATTCTTCAAATAGCCACTGTTTTGCCTTGATGACAGCTTAGCACACTCTTGGCATTCTGTCAACCAGCTTAACCTGAAATTCTTTTCCATCAATCTTGAAGGAGTTCCCACATATGCTGAGCACTTGTTGGCTGCTTTTCCTTCACTCTGCGGTCCGACTCATTCCAAACCATCTCAATTTGGTTGAGGTCGGGGGATTGTGGAGGCCAGATCATCTGATGCAGCACTCCATCACTCTCCTTCTTGGTAAAATAGCCCTTACACAGCCTGGAGGTGTGTTGGGTCATTGTCCTGTTGAAAAACAAATGATAGTCCCACTATGCCCAAACCAGATGGGATGGCGTATCGCTGCAGAATGCTGTGGTAGCCATGCTGGTTAAGTGTGCCTTGAATTCTAAATAAATCACAGACAGCGTCACCAGCAAAGCACCCCCACACCATAACAACTCCTCCTCCATGCTTTACGGTGGGAAATACACATGTCTGTTACTTGAACTCTGTGAAGCATTTATTTGGGCTGCAATTTCTGAGGCTGGTAGCTCTAATGAACTTATCCTCTGCAGCAGAGGTAACTCTGGGTCTTCCATTCCTGTGGCGGTCCTCATGCGAGCCAGTTTTATCATAGCGCTTGATGGTTTTTGCGACTGCACTTTCAAAGTTCTTGAAATGTTCCGTTTTGACTGACCTTCATGTCTTAAAGTAATGATGGACTGTCATTGCTCTTTGCTTATTTGAGCTATTCTTGCAATAATATGGACTTGGTCTTTTACCAAATAGGGCTATCTTTTGTATACCCCCCTACCTTGTCACAACACAACTGATTGGCTCAAACGCATTAAGAAGGAAAGAAATTCCATAAATTTACTTTTAAGAAGGCACACCTGTTTATTGAAATGCATTCCAGGTGACTTCCTCATGAAGCTGGTTGAGAGAATGCCAAGAGTGTGCAAAGCTGTCATCAAGGCAAAGGTGGCTATTTGAAGAATCTCAAATCTCAAATATATTTTGATTTGTTTAACACTTTTTTGGTTACTACATGATTACATTTGTGTTATTTCATAATTTTGATGTCTTCACTATTATTCTACAATGTAGAAAATAGTAAAAATAAAGAAAAACCCTTGAATGAGTAGGTGTTCTAAAACTTTTGACCAGTAGTGTACGTCTCCTCAAAATGGCATAAGTAAGTAACACACGGGTAGTTCTATTTCCTAATACAGCAATGGTGTATGCACTAAGGTTTATTCCCCCACAGGCAATCCTTCTAGCATCAGAATCAAATAACCACTCGGTCAATTCCACCACATGGGCTTGATACACAGTATGATTAACTCCTGATCTAATATCCCACCATCTATCCATAACACACAAAATACATCATAAATAAAACATGAATAGTTCTATACTTTCCCAAAACGATCCTCAAAATCATTCAACTCTTAAAATAAATGGCGTTTTATACTTGGAATTTATGCCCTAAATCCTATCAACAAGTCTCATCAAATGGCTTTTATACTCTGAATTTATGCCCTAAGTCCTATCACCGAGTCTCATCACTCTCTCAGAGTCATAACCATACACTCATACACTATTGGCCCTCCTGTAGCTCAGTTGGTAGAGCATGGCGCTTGCAACGCAAGGGTTGTGGGTTCGTTTCCCACGGGGGGCCAGTATGAAAAATGTATGCACTCACTAATTGTAAGTCGCTCTGGATAAGAGCGTTTGCTAAATGACTAAAATGTCAATTGGATCACAAAAAAATAAAATAAAACTCTAACAGACGTAACGTAGGAATTTCTACCCTATTTCCACCTAGGCGGTCTGTGGTTCCTTCTATGTGGTGAGAACAAATTCACTGTCACTCTCAGTCATATAATATTCAGAATTTAGGTTCGTATAAATTTATCAGCGAAGCGCCACTTACTTGCCAGAATGACTCATTAACCACAACGTGCAATACCAAATTACAGACTTTAGATATAACAGGCATCTGCTTACCTTGTAATTTGTAGGCCTGGCACGTGGATCAATGGTCACTCCAGCGAAGTGGTCACTCGCTCCTGGCAAGCTCGCCAAAGTGTTCAACTGATGATCAGGTGTAATAATGCTCAAATCAATATATGGTGGTAAGAAGGAAACACAGACACTTCGTCAAAGTATTCAGATTATTCTTTAATTAATGCAATTGCAGGCAGAACTTAGTACAGAGTACAATATTGATAGCTCTCCCCAAGTTCTGCGAGGTGTCTAAGACATCCTGTAACTTATAAAGCCTCCCCAACCCTTCCTAGTGTGACTTCCCCTAACAACAACAGCTTAATACATCTACCTATCCCTGACAGCGCCAATCATCTTGTCAGTATTTTATAGCTTCAAAAACATGGGCTTGACCGATTCTTGACTTCTCATACAGAAACTTAACAATATAATCTTGTGACATTTAACATTTCATAAAGGAGAAGTAAGAGGCTTCTAGCGCGAGGGGATATTTTTGTGATTAGGCGCAGCGTCCTCTTTTCACAGAACCAGACAGCTTGGGTGTTTCATTGATTGTAAGAAGCTGATAGCAAGAAGTTAAACCCCTTCACTATGCTAGCAAAACAGTCCTGTAGCTTAGTATCTGCTTCATCTGACCACTTTTTTTATTGACCGAGTCACTGGTGCTTCCTGCTTTAGTTTTTGCTTGTAAGCAGGAATCAGGAGGATATAATCATGCTCAGATTTGCCAAATGGAGGACAAGGGAGAGCTTTGTACGCATCTCTGTGTGTGGAGTAAAGGTGGTCCAGAGTTTTTTCCCCTCTGGTTGCACATTTAACATGCTGGTAGAAATTAGGATATAGATGGAAATTCTCTTGGTTGATAGTGTGGTCCACAGCTTACCATGAGATACTCTACCTCAGGCGAGCAAAATATAGTTTTCATTTATATTCTTCGTAGCTGTCTATTTACCACCACAAACCGATGCTGGCACTAAGACCGCTCTCAATTAACTGTATACGGCCATAAGCAAACAGGAAAACACTCATCCAGAGACGGCGCTCCTAGTGTCCGGGGACTTTAATGAAGGTAAATTTAAATCAGTTTTACCTCACTGGGCTTGCAAACTATTACAGACTACAAAGGGAAGCACAGCCGCAAGCTGCCCAGTGACACGAGCCTACCAGACGAGCTAAATTACTTCTATGCTCGCTTCGAGGCAAGTAACACTGAAACATGCATGAGAGCATCAGCTGTTCCGGACGACTGTGTGATCACGCTCTCCGTTGCTGATGTGAGTAAGACCTTTAAACAGGTCAACATTCACAAGGCCGCAGGGCCAGATGGATTACCAGGATGTGTACTCCGAGCATGCGCTGACCAACTGGCAGGTGTCTTCACTGACATTTTCAACCTCTCCCTGTCTCAGTCTGTAATACCAACATGTTTCAAGCAGACCACTATAGTCCCTGTGCCCAAGAACACTAAGGTAACCTGCCTAAATGACTACCGACCTGTACCACTCACATCTGTAGCAATGAAGTGCTTTGAAAGGCTGGCCATGGCTCACATCAACACCATTATCCCAGAAACCCTAGACCCACTCCAATTTGCATACCGCCCCAACAGATCCACAGATGATGCAATCTCTATTGTGCTCCACACTGCCCTTTCACACCTGGACAGAAGGAACACCTATGTGAGAATGCTATTCATTGACTACAGCTCAGCGTTCAACACCATAGTGCCCTCAAAGCTCATCACTAAGCTAAGGACCCTGGGACTAAACACCTCCCTCTGCAACTGGATCCTGGACTTCCTGACAGGCCACCCCCAGGTGGTAAGGGTAGGTAACAACACATCTACATTTACATTTACATTTTAGTCATTTAGCAGACGCTCTTATCCAGAGCGACTTACAGGAGCAATTAGGGTTAAGTGCCTTGCTCAAGGGCACATTTACGTCATTTAGCAGACGCTCTTATCCAGAGCGACTACAAATTGGTGCATTCACCCTATAGCCAGTGGGATAACCACTTTACAATTATACTTTTTTTTTTTTTTTTTTTTTTTTTTGGGGGGGGGGGGGGGGGGAAGGGGTAGAAGGATTACTTTATCCTATCCCAGGTGTTCCTTAAAGAGGTGGGGTTTCAAATGTCTCCGGAAGGTGGTGAGTGACTCCGCTGTCCTGGCGTCGTGAGGGAGCTTGTTCCACCATTGGGGTGCCAGAGCAGCGAACAGTTTTGACTGGGCTGAGCGGGAACTATGCTTCCGCAGAGGAAGGGGAGCCAGCAGGCCAGAGGTGGATGAACGCAATGCCCTCGTTTGGGTGTAGGGACTGATCAGAGCCTGAAGGTATGGAGGTGCCGTTCCCCTCACTGCTCCATAGGCAAGCACCATGGTCTTGTAACGGATGCGAGCTTCAACTGGAAGCCAGTGGAGTGTGCGGAGGAGGGGGGTGACGTGAGAGAACTTGGGAAGGTTGAACACCAGACGGGCTGCGGCATTCTGGATGAGTTGTAGGGGTTTAATGGCACAGGCAGGGAGCCCAGCCAACAGCGAGTTGCAGTAATCCAGACGGGAGATGACAAGTGCCTGGATTAGGACCTGTGCCGCTTCCTGTGTAAGGCAGGGTCGTACTCTCCGAATGTTGTAGAGCATGAACCTGCAGGATCGGGTCACCGCCTTGATGTTAGCGGAAAACGACAGGGTGTTGTCCAGGGTCACGCCAAGGCTCTTCGCACTCTGGGAGGAGGACACAACGGAGTTGTCAACCGTGATGGCGAGATCATGGAACGGGCAGTCCTTCCCCGGGAGGAAGAGCAGCTCCGTCTTGCCAGGGTTCAGCTTGAGGTGGTGATCCGTCATCCATACTGATATGTCGGCCAGACATGCAGAGATGCGATTCGCCACCTGGTTATCAGAAGGGGGAAAGTGCCACGCTGCCACGCTGATCTTCAACACAGGGGCCCCTCAGGGGTGCGCACTCAGTCCCCTCCTGTACTCCCTGTTCACTCATGACTGCATGGCCAGGCACGACTCCAATACCATCATGCAGTTTGCCGATGACACAACAGTGGTGGCCTGATCACCGACAACGATGAGACAGCCTATAGGGAGGAGGTCAGAGACCTGGCCGTGTGGTGCCAGGACAACAACCTTTCCCTCAACGTGATCAAGACAAAGGAGATGATTGTGGACTACAGGAAAAAGAAGAACGACCCCATGCTCATCGACGGGGCTGTAGTGGAGCAGGTTGAGCACTTCAAGTTCCTTGGTGTCCACATCGCCAACAAATTAACATGGTCCGAGCACACCAAGACAGTCGTGAAGAGGGCACGACAAAACCTATTCCCCCTAAGGAGACTGAAAAGATTTGGCATGGGTCCTCAGATCCACAAAAGGTTCTACAGCTGCACCATCGAGAGCATCCTGACTGGTTGCATCACTGCCTGGTATGGCAACTGCTCAGCCTCCGACCGCAAGGCACTACAGAGGGTAGTACGTACGGCCCAGTACATCACTGGGGCCAAGCTTCCTGCCATCCAGGACCTCTATACCAGGCAGTGTCAGAAGAAGGCCCTAAAAATTGACACAGACTCCAGCCACCCTAGTCATAGACTGTTCACTCTGCTACCGCACGGCAAGTGGTACCGAATCGCCAAGTCTAGGTCCAAGAGGCTTCTAAACAGCTTCTACCCCCAAGCCATAAGACTCCTGAACATCTAATCAATTGGCTACCGAGACTATTTGCATTGCCCCCCCCCCCCCCCCCCATTGTTATTTTTATTGCTGCTCTTTAATTATTTGTTACTTTTATTTCGTTATTTTTTATTTTTTTGTGTTCTTTCTTAAAATTGCATTGTTGGTTAAGGGCTTGTAAGTAAGCATTTCACTGTAAGGTCTACACCTTTTGTATTCGGTGCATGTGACAAATAAAATTTGATTTGATTTCATTCCATGATTGGAGGGAAATAAGGTTTGGTTTCAATATTTTGCCTTTGCTTGTGTAGTCTTTCCTCCCTCATTTCCAGGATACCTCATTTGCTCTCTCCCTCACTTTCCCTCTCCCTTTCTGTGCCCACTCAAAGTCCCCCTCACCTCCCACCTACTACTTTACCCAAACACTGATCTCAGATTAAGTTGAACACTATCCCCGGTAAAGTTTGCACCTGCCTCTTTTAGTATTGTTCCTTCCAGAGCTTTGGCAGGGGCTTACACTTTCTCTGCTCCTCTCATCCAAGGAATCTCTTTCTCCCTGCTCCTTTCGATATCCACTGGATGCCCTAGGCAAGGATTTTGGCTGTTTTCTAGGACTCCCGTCATAACAGTACCGATAATCCTGCTGGAAGTGAACGAGAAGCGCCCCTCTGTTTGGACGTCCACCCCCCCTCCTCCCCTCCCATCATCACCACAACAACCGCCACCCCTCCGTCTTTCTCCAGTCCTCTCTTCACTTCTTTTAAACTGGATGGTTCCCAGTTGGATGGAACACATCTGTGTACTGGAGGAAACTTGGTTAGAGTGGTGAGGAGTTACATGTCAGTCTTCTGAAGGCAGGTGAGTGGTCCATCTATCTACCTCTTCCTCTAGCTCTCTCTTGCTCTCTTTCCCTCCAACACGTGCATCACCAATTGGTGGACAGGTGAGCTGCACCTGAATTTGACTCCTGGACAGGTGTGTGTTCATACTTGTTTATCCTTGGCATCTCATAGTTTTTTGAAGATCATACAGAATGGCCTAACATGGTGGAGAATCCCTGTTACTGGTAGCCATGGTGTATTTAAGGTTTCATGACAGTTTATAGCCTCACCCATTACAGCTCTTAGGAAATCAGGACATGAGAGCATTGAGGACTTCATACTGCTTTATGAACATGTGTATGGTGATGTCTCATAGGGAAGATGACAGTGCCATCCTTGGCATTTGGTTTTAGAACAATGAAATCTCTGTGTTATTAGTTAATACTGTATTAGGATTATATGTTCCATGTTATAACAATGCCTACTGCTGAGCATCTGGCACTGTAGTTTTTGACTTGACAACATATATGTGCTAATGAAGATGTTGTGATTTAGAAGTGAATCAGTTTGTCATTTAGTATTTCAGTAGCATTAGCCAACAGTCCCTAATCTATTTATGTCTTGAGATACATGGCAATAATGATGCATTATTTGAATGTTCTGCTAGCTGTAATTGGCATGAATTGGATACTTTTCTACAATTGTTTTCTGTTCTTTTAGTTGTAGCTAGAGTAGACTCCTCTTGATACAGTCAGAGGTTTAGGGCACTGGAGTGTGACCCCAGAGGGGTTGTGTTTACACCATTAGAAGAGCCCTTTTTTGTTACAATCCTGAGTGCAGTCCCCAGGCGTTATCTAAATTGTTCTGTTGAAACATTATGGAGTAAATGCTTGTCAGATAACGTGTTGGGGAACTGAAGGAGTGAAAATAGGGGTTGTGGTAATCTCTGTGTTGACAAAGCATGATGACAGGGCGATGACTGAACAATGATCCCCTCTCACCAGGGTCCACTAACCTTGGCACACCTGAACACAATTTACCAACAGGCTGAATACTGTACACGCATTAAAGAGATGACAGTGTAGATTTGGGAGAGATACTTAATTCACATCACATTCCTCAGAGATCACTTTGAGGATAATGTTACACTATCTCCTAACGCTAAACCTAATTCTAACCCTAACACTAATTATATCTTAACCCTAAACCCCCTAGAAATAGCATTTGACCTTGCGGGGACTAACAAAATGTCCTGTTCTGGTCCCCACAAGTATAGTTAAACTTGTCCACACACACACACACACACAGACAGACAGACAGATTATTATAATAAATTACAACCATCACAAGAAATGTAGTAAGCTATCATACTGAAATTCACTCTTGCTGAAGGACCCTAGTCTCTCCTGTGAAATACATCTTTCTTGTCATTTAGAATATAACCGTGTTTGGTGTCCTTTTAACACAAATGTCTCCGGTTACAAATAAAATAACAATGATTGGCATAATTTAAATTCACATAATAAAACAACATTTTAAACTTAAAAAGGTTTCTGAACAGACCACAACCCACCCATCAAACCGGTTATACCATGGCCCACCACCCCTCCTAACCAATCCACAAAACGAATCAAAGTCACAATAGGTATTTTGTACCCCAAATTGCAATGGCCATTTCCCCCAAGTCTCACACACACACACACACACACACACACACACACACACACACACACACACACACACACATCACCCCCTTACAGATCAAAGTACTCAGATCAAAGGTGTTTACATACATCTCGCTTAAACGATTTAAGCTATAAACACAAAACCAACTTTACAAAATACAGACTGCCCCAACTCGGATTGCTTGAGAAAATATTTTTGAAAGCATTTTGAACTATAGCAATATTTAAATGAGCTCCCAATGCATTTCAATGGCAAAGAAAGGCCCATAGACTCGAATGGTAAAGAAAATACAAATTCTAGACCTATCTCCTTCTACACCGTTTAAGCTATCAACACCAAACCAACGTTGAGATGTTCAGACTAGCCCAACTTAGATTGCTTGTCAAAGGATGTTTGATTCTATGTATACTTTTGGAACTATAACCATTTTAATTAACATTAAATTAATATGGGTTTGAATGAGAACCATTGGATTACAGTGGTTATGTCACAACTTCCTCCGAAGCTGCCTCCTCTCCTGGTTCGGGTAGGCTTCGGCGTTCGTCGTCACCGGCCTTCTAGCCACTGCCGCTCCTCATCTCATCATTCCATTTGTTTTGTCTTGTTTATTACACACACGTGGTTCATATCCCCTCATCAGTACCTGTATAAGTGTTCCCTCTGCCCCCTTGTCTTTGTGTGTGATTGTTTATTGTGAGAAGAGTGAAGCTCGGTTGAGCTCCTTGTATTGCCGGGTTATTTTCCCTGTGTGCCTTGTTGGTTCCAGTGCGCCTGTTTTGCGCACTGGACTGTTTTGACGCATTACTGTGTAACTCTGTATTCCGGAATAAATCCTGTTATTCTGTGAATTACCGTCCTGCGCCTGACTCCTTCAAATCACCTATCACAGAATCACACACCCGAAATGGAGTCAGCGATCCGGGAGAGCGGAGGACGACAGCGCCAGTGTCACTCTAGTGGCACGAGAGGACATTTCACTGCACAATGTTGTCAGTGTTCTTTTGGGTCTGGAGGCGGCAGGCAGGGCACTCTCGCGTCACCCCAGGTATCGAACACCCACACTCGTTTGAGGCCTCTGCTGCGCACTGTACCCTACCCATCCTCTTTCCTGATTACATTGTAGTTCCCCAGTGTAAGGCACTGGTCGATTCAGGCGCAGCAGGGAACTTTATGGACAGGTCATTTTCACATAGTCTAGGCATTACATTGGTTCCCCTATCCATTCCACTCCCCATCAGAGCAGTTGACAGTCGACCATAAGAGTCCGGGTTCGTTAGGGAGAGTACAGCACCAGTCACTATGGTTACACACGAGACTCATCGAGAGCAAGTCACTTTTTTTTATTATTGTGTCTCCTGATTTCCCTGTTGTGTTAGGTCTTCCCTGGTTAGCACTCCACAACCCCACCTTTTCATGGCCACAGAGGGTTCTCACGGGGTGGTCGCGAGAGTGTCAGGGAAGGTGTTTAGGTGTTTCCGTTGGTGCAACCATGGTGGAAAGACCAGACAGTACCTCCACCTTGCGCATTCCCCCCGAATACCTCGATTTGGCGCACGTGTTTTCCAAAACGCAGGCGACCAAATTACCACCTCAGCGGGCGGGGGATTGCGTGATAAACCTCCGGGTAGATGCTGTGCCTCCCATGAGTCATGTGTATCCCCTGTCACAGGCTGAAACATACGTCTCCAAGTCCCTGCACCAGGGGTTTATACGTCCCTCCACTTCGCCCGCCTCCTCAAGTTATTTTTTTGTAAAGAAGAAAGACAAAGGTCTGTGCCCTTGCATTGATTACCGACCACTGAACAAGGGGACGATACGATTTAGTTATCCTCTACCCCTCGTTCCATCTGTGATCGAGTCAATGCATTGGGCGCGCTTCTTCACAAAATTAGCTCTCCGGAGTGCGTACAACCTGGTGCGTGTCCGAGAGGGGGACGAGTGGAAGACAGCATTCAGCACATCCACAGGGCATTACGAATACCTGGTGATGCCTTACGGTTTGATGAACGCTCCATTCGTCTTCCAGTCCTTTGTGAACGAGATGTTTCGGGTGTAGTGGTCTACATCGATGACATTCTGGTGTATTCTGCTACGCGCGCCGAGCATGTGCCCCTGGTTCGCAAAGTGCTGGCCCGACTGTTGGAAAATGACCTTTATGCCAAGGCAGAGAAGTGTCTGTTTTTCCAGCAGTCCGTCTCCTTCCTCGGATACCGCATTACCACCTCAGGTGTGGAGATGGAGGGAGATCGCATTTCAGCTGTGCGTAATTGGCCGACTCCAACCACGGTAAAGGAGGTGCAGCCTTTATTGGCTTTGCCAACTACCATCGGAGGTTTATCCGGGGCTTTGGCAAGGTCGCAGCTCCCATCACATTTGACAGTGCATGTCAGAGCAGAAGGTATACCATGAAGTCCAAGGAACTGTCCGTAGATCTCCGAGATAGGATTGTGATGAGGCATACAGTACCACTAAAAAGTTTGGACACACCTACTCATTCAAGGGTTTTTCTTGATTTTTACTATTTTCTACATTGTAGAATAATAGTGAAGACATCAAAACTATTAAATAACACTTATGGAATCATGTAGTAAGCAAAAACAAATCAAAATATTATTACAGAAGGGGGTTGCAGTTCCGGAGCGACCCACTAGGTGTCCTCCTCCAACAACCTTAGGCACCTCCTCACTCACAGTCTGGACTAATCATGATCCTATTGGTGTCACCTGTGTCTACCTGTTCACCTGTGTATTTATGCCCTCACTTCCCTGTGTTCCCTTGCTTAATTTACTCTGCTAGTTTCTCGATCCCAAGCAGTACGAATCAGTGTCTGATTGTGAGACGTATGTAGAGGTACTTGAGAAGTGTTCTCCCTGTTTCATTGTTGTTTCAGTCGTAGTTAGTATTTCGTATTTTTGCTGTCAGCCTGTTTTTGGAGACCAATTTGCTCCTCCTTTATTTTATTGTGAGAAGTCCGTTATTTTGTATCCTGGCTTTGGGACCACCAGTAAAGATCCTTGTTTCACCATCTCTGCCTACTGCCTACTGTCTATCCCGCACCGCACCTGGGTTCCAGCTCACACCAACCCTTACAGAAAACTGAGCCAATATGGAACCAGCGGAGGCAGCACAGTATCGTAGCGCAATGGCAACGCAGGGAGCTACGCTGAACCAGCACGCCCGCAGCCTGCAGCAGATCACCGAGAATCTCTGCCAGCTGAGAATCGCCATGCAGAGCCGGGTGGACACCTGACCAGCTCCAGCAGCCGGCTGAGCGGAATCTGCGGCAGCGGTGTTTCCAGTCTCGCCTGCGACATCGCGGGAACCCAGCCTACCACCTCCGGGGAGGCACGACAGACATCCAGAGGGCTGCAGGGAATTCCTCACCCAGTGTTCCCTGGTATTCAGCCTACAACCCTCTTCCTTCCCGAAGGAGCAGGGCCGGGTGGCCTACATTATCACTTTGTTGATGGGTCGGGCCCTTTCCTAGGCTACCGCAGAGTGGGAGAGTCAAACTCCAGCGTGCTCCGACTCCTACCAATTCACCCGGGAGCTACGCAAGGTGTTCGACACCTCTCAGTCTGTCGGCAGGGTGACCGTTCGGTGGCGGACTACTCCGTGGAGTTCCGGACCCGGGCTCGAGAGGCAGGATGGGAGGAGACCGCCCTGGTCGTCCTTTACGCGCAGGGGCTATCGGAGGGGATGAAGGACGAACTCTCCTACAGGGAGATGCCTGAGTGACTGGACGGCCTCGATGACCTCTCAGTGCGGGTAGACAATTGGCGTCGTGAAAGGGCGCAGGAAAGAGGGATGACGCAAGGCGCGCCTCTGCGTCCCCCTATCAGCCCGGAGACATTCCGCTGATTCAGGGAGGAGACGCCTCAGGAGGAGTCTATGCAGCTGGGTGTGGCGCGCTTGTCCAGGATGGAGAAGCAGAGGCGTCTGCGCCAGGGACATTGCCTGTATTGCGGCCAAGCAGGCCACCACTGCGACTCATGCCCGGAGTAGCCGGGAAACGGGAGGGCTCGCTAATATCGGGAGGGATGCGAAAACACATGCTTAAAGTACTTTGCTTCCTCCTTCAAAATATAATTTGGTGAATCATGGGTGACTCCGTCATTTGTAACCAGTTTCAGTAAATTATTTTTGGTCGCATTTCTATGTTGAAGATAAAAAAATTGCAAAAAAAGCTGCATTTTTCCCCATATTCCATCCAGTTTGTTTATTTTTATAATATATTACACTTGATCTTTCTTGACATTTCTTTTTGTTTTTCCTGTAATTTATTGACGTGTCTGTTACTTGAACTCTGTGAAGCATTTATTTGGGCTGCAATTTCTGAGGCTGGTAACTCTAATTAACTTATCCACTGCAGCAGAGGTAACTCTGGGTCTTCCATTCCTGTGGCGGTCCTCATGAGAGCAAGTTTCATCATAGCACTTGATGAATTTTGCGACTGCACTTGAAGAAACTTTCAAAGTTCTTGAAATGTTCCATATTGACTGACCTTCATGTCATAAAGTAATGATGGACTGTTGTTTCTCTTTGCTTATTTGAGCTGTTCTTGCCATAATATGGACTTGGTCTTTTACCAAATAGGGCTATCTTATGTATACCCCCCCTACCTTGTCACAACACAACTGATTGGCTCAAACACATTAAGAAGGAAAGAAATTCCACAAATTAACTTTTAACAAGGCACACCTGTTAATTGAAATGCATTCCAGGCGACTATCTCATGAAGCTGGTTGAGAGAATGCCAAGAGTATGCAAAGGTGTCATCAAGGCGAGGGTGGCTATTTGAAGAATTTGTTGAACACTTTTTTGGTTGCTACATGATTCCATATGTGTTTTTTCATAGTTTTGATGTCTTCACTATTATTCTACAATGTAAAAAATAGTCAAAAATAAAGAAAAACCCTTGAATGAGTAGGTGTGTCCTAACTTTTGACTGGTAGTGTATATTTGGGGAAGGCTATAAAATAATTTCTAAAGTGTTGAAATGTTTCCAAGAGTGCAGTGGTCTCCATCATTGGGAAATGGAAAAAATATGGAACTACCCAGACTCTGCCTAGAGCTGGCCATCTAACCAAACTGAGCAACCGAGCAAGAAGGACCTTGGTCAGGGAGGTGACCCAATGACCACTCTGACAGAACTGCAGAGTTAATTGGCTGAGATGGGAGAACCTGCCAGAAGGACAACAGTCTCTACAGCACTTCACCAATCTGGGCTTTATGGGGGAGTGGCCAGATGGAAGCCACTCCTGAGAAAAAGGCACATGACAGCACACCTGGATTTTGCAAAAAGGCACGTGAAAGACTCTGAGAGCATAAGGCAAAAGATTCTGTCATCTGATGAGACAAAAATTGAACCTCTTTGGCCTGAATGCAAAGCGCTATGTCAGGAGAAAACCAGGCACAGCTCATCACCCGTCTAACACCATCTCTACCGTGAAGCATGGTGGTGGCAGCATCATGCTACGGGGATGCTTTTCAGCGGCAGGGACTGGGAGACTGCTAAGGATAGAGGGAACAATGAATGAAGACAAATACAAGATGAGAACCTGCTTCAGAGTGCAAACAACCTTAGATTGGGGCAAATATTTACGTTCCAACAGGACAATGATCCCAAGCATACAGCCAAAGCAATGCTGGAATGGCTTCAGAACAAGAATGTGAAAGTCCTTGAGTGGCCCAGCCAAAGCCCAGACTGGAATCCCATTGAAAATCTGTGGAAAGACTTGAAGATTGCTGTTCACCGCCACTCCCCATCTAATTTAACAGAGTTTGAGACAATCTGCAAGGAAGAATGGGAGAAAATCCCCAAATCCAGATGTGCAAAGCTGATACAGACATATCCAAGACGACCCAAAGCTGTAAAAGTATTGACTTAGGGGTGTGAATACTTATGTAAATTAGATATATCTGTATTTCATTTCCAATACATTTGCAAAAACATTTTACAAATATTTTCACTTTGTCATTATGTGTAGATGGGTGAGAAAAAAATCAATTTAATCCATTTTTAATTCAGGCTGTAACACAACAAAATGTTGAAAAAGTCACGGGGTATGAATACTTTCTGAAGGTACTGTATCTAAACATTTGGGGCACAGAAATAAAAGAAAAGAGATAGCTTCTTTAGAAGATCAATGATCATAGCAATGGATGAATGACTTATCTCTTGCATGTGGTCACTCACAACTTGATGCTCTTAGAGACCGTGTAGAAATTTCAATGTAATTAATCTCAATAGGGATTGCTTTTACACAATGTAGCAACCTAATATTACACAAATGACTTTGTAATTTCAATGACAGGTTTTTGTATCAACATTTTAGCTTTTTATAATAAATACATGTCTTTACAGGGTTAAATATTAGTTAGAGAGCACAACATGTGCTTCAAAAGTAGCTAGAATTCATATAGGCTCAATATGCTACATCTCAATCAATAAAACATTTAAATTATTCTGGTGCTCCTAGATTTTATGTTGTGCTCCTAACTTTTTAAAGTTGGGAGCACCAGTGCCATCAATGTTTTTATTTATTTTAGAGCCCTGGAGAGGACGCAAATTTAAACTTTATTTTTTACTTTCAATTTATGACAACCATTAATTTAACATTCTACTACCATTCAATCAAATGCTGCTTTGAATTAGGTCAGGTCTTGTCCCTTGGATCGACTTGGCTGTGCATTCTACACTGAACAAATACAAAAATGCAACATGTAAAGTGTTGGTCCCATTTTTCATGAGCTGAAATAAAAGATTGCAGAAATTTTCCATACGCACAAAAAGCTTCTTCCTCTCACATTTGTGCACACATTTGTTTACATCCCTGTTAGTGAGCATTTCTTCTTTTCCAAGATAATCCATCCACCTGACAGGTGTGGCATATCAAGAAGCTGATTAAACAGCATGATCATTACACAGGTGCACCTTGTGCTGGGGACAATAAAAGGCCACTCTAAAATGTGCAGTTTTGTCACACAACACAATGCCACAGATATCTCAAGTTTTGAGGAAGCATTCAACTGGCATGTTGACTGCAGGAATGTCCACCAGAGATGATGCCAGAGAATTGAATGTTCATTTCTCTACCATAAGCTGCCTCCAATGTCGTTTTAGAGAATTTGGGAGTACATCCAACTGGCCTCACAACTGCAGACCACGTGTATGGCGTCGTGTGGGCAAACGGTTTGCTGATGTCAATGATGTGAACAGAGTGTCCCATGATGGCGGTGGGGTTATGGAATGGGCAGGCATAAGCTACGGACAACAAACACAATTGCATTTTATCGATGGCATTTTGAATGCACAGAGATACCGTGATGAGATCCTGATGCCCATTGTCATGCCATTCATCCGCCGCTGTCACCTCATGTTTCAGCATGATAATGCAAGGTCCCATGTCGCAAGGATCTGTACACAGTTCCTGGAAGCTGAAAATGTCCCAGTTCTTCCATGGCCTGCATACTCAGCAGACATGTCACCCATTTGTATTTGTATTTGTATTTATTAGGGATCCCCATTAGCTGCTGCCAAGGATTTGGGGATTGTGAAGATACCTCTGGTGGCATGTCTTGTTGGGTATGCATGGGTGTCCGAGCTGTGTGCTAGTAGTTTAAACAGACAGCTTGGTACATTCAGCTTGTCAACACTTCTTACAAAAACAAGTAGGTATGAAGTCAATCTCTCCTCTACTTTGAGCCATGAGAGATTGACATGCATATTATTAATGTTAGCTCTACATGTACATTTAAGGGCCAGCGGTGCTGCCCTGTTTTGAGCCAGTTGTAATTTTCCCAAGTCCCTCTTTGTGGCACCTGACCACACTACTGAACAGTAGTCCAGGTGCAACAAAACTAGGGCCTGTAGTACCTGCCTTGTTGATAGTGTTGTTAAGAAGGCAGAGCAGTACTTTATTATGGACAGACTTCTCCCCATCTTAGCTACTGTTGTATTAATATGTTTTGACCATGACAGTTTACAATCCAGGGTTACTCCAAGCAATTTAGTCACCTCAATTTGCTCAATTTCCACATTATTCATTACAAGATTTAGTTGAGGTGTAGGGTTTAGTGAATGATTTGTCCCAAATACAATGCTTTTACTTTTTGAAATATTTAGGACTAACTTATTCCTTGCCACCCATTCTGAAACTAACTGCAGCTCTTTGTTATGTGTTGCAGTCATTTCAGTCGCTGTAGTAGCTGACGTGTATAGTATTGAGTCATCCTCATACATAGACACACTGGCCAGTGGCATGTTGTTAGTAAAGATTGAAAAAAGTGAAGGGCCTAAACAGCTGCCCTGGGGAATTCCTGATTCTACCTAAATTATGTTGGAGAGGCTTCCATTAAAGAATACCCTCTGTGTTCTGTTAGACAGGTAACTCTTTATCCACAATATAGCAGGGGGTGTAAAGCCATGACACATAGGTTTTTCCAGCAGCAGACTATGATCGATAATGTCAAAAGCCGCACTGAAGTCTAACAGAACAGCCCCATTGAGCATGTTTGGGATGCTCTGGATCGAAGTGTACGACAGCGTGTTCCAGTTCCTGCCAATATCTAGGAACTTCACACAGCCATCGAAGAGGAGTGGGACAAAATTCCACAGGTCACAATCAACAGCCTGATCAACTCTATGCAAAGGAGATGTTGCGCTGCATGAGGAAAATGGTTGTCACATCAGATACTGACTTGTTTTCTGATCCACGCCCCTACCTTTTCTTTAAGGTATCTGTGACCAATAGATGCATATCTGTATTACCAGTCATGTGAAATCCATAGATTAGGGCCTAATGAATTTAAATTGACTGATTTCCTTATTTGTATTTGTATTTATTATGGATCCCCAAGGCAACAGCTACTCTTCCTGGGGTCCGGCAAAATTAAGGCAGTTGTACAATTTTAAAAACATTACAATACATTCATAACAGATTTCACGACACACTAAGTGTGTGCCCTCAGGACCCTACTCCACTACCACATATCTACAACACAAAATCCATGTGTACGTGTGTGTAAAGTGCGTATTCTATCGTGTGTGTGTATGCATGTGTCTGTGCCTATGTTTGTATTGCTTCACAGTGCCCACTGTTCCATAAGGTGTATTTTTCTTATTTTTTAAAATCTGATTATTCTGCTTGCATCAGTTACCTGATGTGGAATAGAGTTCCATGTAGTCATTGCTCTATGTGGTACTGTGCATCTCCCATAGTCTGTGCTGGACTTGGGGACTGTGAAGAGACCTCTGGTGGCATGTCTTGTGGGGTATGCATGGGTGTCCGAGCTGTGTGCTAGTCGTTTAAACAGACAGCTCGGTGCTTTCAATATGTTAATACCTCTCACAAATACAAGTAGCGATGAAGTCAATATCTCCTCCACTTTGAGCCAGGAGAGATTGCCATGCATATTATTAATGTTTGCTCTCTGTGTTCACCTAAGGGCCAGTCCCTCTTTGTGGCACCTGACCACACGACTGAACAGTAGTCCAGGTGCGACAAAACTAGAGCCTGTAGGCCCTGCCTTGTTGACAGTGCTGTTTAGAAGGTAGAGCAGCGCTTTATTATGGACAGACTTCTCCCCATCTTAGCTACTGTTGTATCAATATGTTTTGACCATGACAGAGAATGTAACTCAGTAAAATCATAGAAATATTTGCACGTTACGTTTATATATTTTTCAGTATAGTTTGGCAGTAGAAAGCCTGCCAAGCCAGGCACCAACGCGACCGCCAACTCAATTAAAGCCATTAGTGCTCCACTGTTTACGCTCCCTTCTCTTTAGCCAACAAGGCATGGCTCCCAAACAGACGTGGTAATGAGGTCCCAGGCCTAGCTTCCTTACTCAGACAAGGAGACGCTGGAGCGGAGCAGGTCAGCTTGGGTTGGGCTGCAGGGTCCCTGGCTTGGTCCACTCACACGGGACCGCAAGGCGAACGTGATCCTGACACATTGTTCCTGAACCCATAATGGGGCCTTTTCAGGGCTCCTCTAATGGGCCACCGTGGCAGAGAGAAGGGGGCGGGGGGTACCCCCAAGGTAGACCTGGGAGACTGATCTTAAAGAAGTTACGTGTCATCGTCGACCGGCTGGCCGGTTGTCCCTTGCTCCCCAGTGCTCTTGTTAAATGCTTGTGTTTATGAGAAGGTGTCTCTATGAGTCACTCTTTACCCATCTTTGGTATCAGCCTCCTAGAAGTTTAATGGTTCAAATTGCTGGTGATGTGGTTCGTGAGGTTTTGGGGGTTATGGCTATGGAACAATCAGAAAACTTAATCAACACTGACTTCCTGAATCACTCTCATTAAATGCCTTGTCTCACTCTCATTGTCCCCAGTGGTCTTACTTCAATCCCTTCTCTGTCTATTTCCTCCATCTAGGATGATCAGACCAGGCACTCCAGTCATGCTCTTCCACCTCTTCAGCTTCTTTACTCAGAGAGAAGGTGAGTGACGTGGCTCCCATTCTGATTCACATGTTTTCTGTATCTTATCTAGAGATATCAGATCAGAGCAAATTACTCAAGGAACATTGTGTTATAGACCGTTACGAAAGAGGGAAAGTTGTGTATGTTTGTGTCTTTCTGGTTAAATGCACAACTTTATTCTTATCTTGATTGAAATCACCAAAATGTCTCAGATTACATGAGTAGTCTCTCTATATGTCTATGAACAGTTGTTCCCCATTCTTTGCTAGATCTGTTACGACTATTGTCTCCACCCTTTTTCATTCAGCTCTTTCTGAGGAGATCATGTACCCCTATGGGCCTACCCACCAAGATCTGGAGACACCCAAGATGGATGATGGGAGTTCCACTGAAATAATTATACTCATGCCATTCATTTTTTTCAATAACCCCTACCGCTCCATCTATGTAAGCTCCCATTTACCCCTTATTTCCTTCAATACCAGCAAATATCCCCAACTCATAAGAGAGAAATGTTCACCATATCATCCATCTAACCATTAATTGTTCTATCAATCTGTTCATCAACAAATCAATTGGGACCGTGCCTCCCTTTCTCTCTCTATCTCTGCAGGTCAACAACAATGGTGTGATTTCCTTCAACGTACAAGTGAGCCAGTTCACCCCTGAGGCCTTCCCACTGAGTGATAGCAGATCCTTCATTGCCCCATTATGGGCAGACGTGCACAACGGCATCCGCGGAGACGTGTACTATCGTGAGAGCACAGACCCAGAGTTACTGGAGCAGGCCACACAAGACATCCGCAAGTACTTTAAGAACATGCCCACCTTCACAGCCACCTGGATCTTCATCACAACCTGGCACCAGGTCACCTTCTACGGAGGCAGTCAGACCACCCCGGTAAAATAACCACAATCACGAATCACAGGGATTACTATATGCTCCACACACAAAACACCTGAACGCACGCAGACGATGGCCACTGATGGTACCATTTATCCTACAATAAATTTTACAAATAATTTGTCTCTGTGTGATGCTTACGCAGAACTGAGAGTAACGTTTCATATGTAGTTGCCTCAAATTGAAATATCTTTGAACTTCTGGGTAAGTATTTGTTTAGTCTAATAGGGGTTGTTTGTTTAGGTTCAAAGGTCGATTCTGCCAGGTGGTGAATTTTGATTTTGTCTCACTCAGTGTTTTTCTTTTCTCTCTCTTTGATCTGTCTTTGATTTCATATTGAACTTAACATATGCTTGCACATTCTCACCTCTCTATAGGTGAACACATTTCAGGTTGTGTTGATATCAGATGGTCTGTCATGCTTTTCCATGTTCAACTATGGAGAGATCAACTGGAGCACAGGCACAGCCAGTGGAGGAGACCCTCTGACTGGTTTGGGTGGTACCACAGCACAGGTAGTCCAATCATGATAGCCTACATATAACGAACCCCTGGCACACACCAAACCAATGAAGGGATTTGATTAATGCCTCTGGCATGCCCCGGGTGAACCGGGTTAGCGTTGATTACATTTGATTTGGAACCGGACTGCCTCCCGGGCGTGAGCCAGGTGCCCCGTTCACAAAACAAAAGTGATGTAGGTTAAGCATGTGGAGTAATGAGTAGGATTCTGTGTTTTCACATGCAAAAGTGATTGCTTTTGATAAAAATTGTTTATCTACCTTCCCAATGATAACTAGTTTGAAAATTCAAATCTATATTTTATGCGAAATAGATGTTGGACAATGCACCATTCTCCATTGTTGACAATATGACAGAGCGGCGCAGATTACCGTTCGATTTGTGCAGGGCGCACCGGCCTCACCCCTAAAACACATCAGACCAATCACAACCTCCCAGATAAAGCTAAAATACAGCAGACCAATCTTGACGCCTCCCACCTCTATGAAAGTGATAACCTCCTCATTTGCCGTTTCCCCATCTCTCCCCTCTCCAGTCAGGTTTTAATGGAGGAGAAATCGGTAACTTCCTCAACCTGCCTGGGTCCCGTTCCAATGCCGTGGTTGAAATCGAGCAGACGACCAACGTAAACCTGCCTGGCCGCTGGGTCTTCCATATAGACACTGCCCTGATAGACCCTGCCAATGGCTGCAGTTACAATGGTGGGTAAAAGGTAGAACATAACAAAGACTTGACACATTGGTCAAATGTCTAGGTTCGATACTAGTCAAGTACATGTAGACAGTTTCTGTAAACTTGAATTACTCTCCTCATAACACAGCATGAGTCCCCTTAATAAAAACATCATGGCTGAGGAGACCCATAGACATGAATGTCCATATCTTCTCCTAGGGCGGTTCTATCGGCGTGGTGAGATCTTCTGGCTGTCCATCCAGTGCTCCCAGCGGTGCCGCTGCCTGGACATGGACAATGAGGTGCTCTGCCAGGAGGCGCCTTGTAGCCAGCTGGAAACGTGTGAGCAGAAGGAGGGTGCCTTCTACTGCCAGTCCACGCGCACCAGCACCTGCGTGGTTTTCGGCGACCCTCACTACCACACCTTTGATGGCTTCCTCTACCACTTCCAAGGCACCTGCTCCTACCTGTTAGCCCGGCCCTGCTGGGAGGTGGCTGGCCTGCCCTTCTTCAGAGTGGAGGCCAAGAATGAGAACCGCGGCGTGGCCTCTGTGTCCTGGCTGAGGGATGTCACTGTGGAGGTGTACGACCACCGAGTCACCCTGCCTAAGGGCAGCCAGGGCAAAATACAGGTGAGCAGAGCAGCACTTCCAAGGAAGACAAATATGTAGGGATGTCTAGGTTTTAGCTCAGCGGGCTAACAGTCTTGTCAATTTGCCATAGGTCAGATGGTTATCAGTCAGATGTCGTACCTTTGGGAGGCTAGGTACATAACAGTAGTCTGATCATGTAGTTTGACAGGTAAGACCAGCAGATGCTGTGTACCGCTCTCCCAGAGACTAATTAGGTCATTACCTAACGTTTTCATAGGAATATTCCATCAACGTCCCACCAAACATACACAGAACATGGTTGCCATGTTCTCAGAATATAAGACATTAATGTTCTAGACACTTTTCATGAACATTCCTGTGTATCAGTCGTCAGGATGTTGCTTGATGGTCCCAAAGAAACCCAATTGTTTCATTATTACACTGCACCCTTTGTTACTGTGGCCGAGCCAATCAAGGCTCTGATTGGTGAACCACTGATCCATTCAAAGCTCTTTGTCTGTTGACAATGTTCGGGACACACACAGTGCTTTCAACTTACATATTTGACACACTTTGAAAAACATGATTACATTGTGCATGTTCATTTATACATTAATGTTGTGACAAGGTAGGGGGGTATACAGAAGATTGCCCTATTTGGTAAAAGACCAAGTCCATATTATGACAAGAACAGCTCAAATAAGCAAAGAGAAACGACAGTCCATCATTACTTTAAGACATGAAGGTCAGTCAATCCAGAACATTTCAAGAACTTTGAAAGTTTCTTCAAGTGCAGTCGCAAAAACCATCAAGCGCTATGATGACACTGGCTCCCATAAGTTAATTAGAGTTACCAGCCTCAGAAATTGCAGCCCCAATAAAGACTTCACAGAGTTCAAGTAACAGACACATCTCAACATCAACTGTTCAGAGGGGACTATGTGAATCAGGCCTTCATGGTCGAATTGCTGCAAAGAAACCACTACTTAAGGACACTAATAATAAGAAGAGACCTGTTTGGGCCAACAAACACGAGCAATGGACATTAGACAGGTGGAAATGTGTCCTTCTGTCTGGAGTCCAAATTTGAGATTTTTGGTTCCAACCGCTGTGTCTTTGTGAGACGCGGTGTGGGTGGACGGATGATCTCTGCATGTGTAGTTCCCACTGCATGTGTAGTTCCCACTGGAGGAGGAGGTGTTATGGTGTGGGGGTGATTTGCTGGTGACACTGTCTGTGATGTATTTAGAATTCAAGGCACACTTAACCAGCATGGCAACCACAGCATTCTGCAGCGATACGCCATCCCATCTGGTATGGGCTTAGTGGGAATATCATTTGTTTTTCAACAGGACAATGACCCAACACACCTCCAGGCTGTGTAAGGTCCTTTTTACCAAGAAGGAGAGTGACGGAGTTCTGCATCAGATGACCTGGCCTCCACAATCCCCCAACCTCAACCCAATTGAGATGGTTTGGGATGAGTCGGACGGCAGAGTGAAGGAAAAGCAGCCAACAAGTGCTCAGCATATGTGGGAACTCCTTCAAGACTGTTGGAAAAGCATTCCATGTGAAGCTGGTTGAGAGAATGCCAAGAGTGTGCAATGCTGTCATCAAGGCAAAGGGTGGCTATTTGAAGAATCTCAAATATAAAATATATTTATATTTGTTTAACACTTATTTGGTTACTACATGATTACATTTGTATTATTTCATAGTTTTGATATCTTCACTATTATTCTACAATGTAGAAAATAGTTAAAATAAAGAAAAACTCTTGAATGAGTAGGTGTGTCCAAACCTTTGACTGGTACTGTATTTCAGAAATGTTAGGGCTTTTTGTATAGTTTTCTAATGTTGGTGGGGCATATAACCTTGTTTTAATGTTACTCTTGAATCACAATTATCAATAAAATTGTTTTTCTTGAGTGTACCTTTAACAGAGCTGAGATTTACCTCAAAGTGCATTCACCCTATTGCTTGCACCTATCCAGTTGTTTCAGATCTACACAAGTGCCTAGGAAGACCATGTTAGGATTTGCTTCTGGCCCAATAAGCACCTGGGATATCCCTTATTGGGACGGTGGTTAGGGCATTCGTCATTGGTGCTTGTGGCCTGGGTTCGTGACCTGCTAGGGGAGTCACACTACTCTCACATTATTAACAATATATGTTAATGTCATTATTTGGCAACATTTACAACACCCGTAACTGATCTAATAAAAATGTGTTTCTCAATGAAAGATAGGAATCTGTAGGATTACCCCTTGACCACAAATTATGACCACATTTCTATTACCTCTCATAAATTATCAGTATTTATTAATTCTATATAGCTGAGTGAAACCGACGTCAAAGTGCTGCTAACAGTTTAGCTTCCTCCACTGTCCGACAGCTCCATACTGGGCTCGAATCAGTGATCCTCTGATCGCAAACACACCTGACCGGCCTCCTTGACAACGTGCCAACGGTTTGAGCCGCCCAAAAGGTACCTCATGGATGGCTCCATCCGCAACTTTTCAAGCTAGCTGTGGAATAAGCTTAAGGCACGTTCTTAACTCCGTCCGTTACATGAGCATCTCTCCATCGTCTTCTTGAAATGCACTTTGAAGTAAATCTCAGCTCTATTTAAAGTGCACTCAAGAAAAACTGTTTCATTGATCATAGTGATTCAGGAGTAACATTAAAACCGGATAAAATGCCCCACCAACATTAGACCACTATATAGAAAGCCCTAACATTGCTGAAATAAGTACATCAAATCAATTATGAGAGAATATTCAGATTAACTGATAACTGACACAGACATGGTGGCGTAGCAGAAACATCAGAATGCCGTGAACCAAGAGGTTGGGAGTTCAAATCCGAGGTGAGGACATGCTGAATAATAATGACTGTATAATTGAAAATGCTCAATATAATCAGTATGTCAAATAAGTAAGTTGAAAGCACTGTGTGTCCCGAACATTGCCTACAGTCGTGGTCAAAAGTTTTGAGAATGACACAAGTATGGTCTTCACAAAGTTTGCTGCTTCAGTGTTTTTAGATATTTTTGTCAGATGTTGTATAATTACAAGCATTCCATAAGTGTCTTTTATTAAGGCTTTTATTGACAATTACATTAAGTTTATGCAAAGAGTCAATATTTGCAGTGTTCACCCTTCTTTTTCAAGACCTCTGCAATCCGCCCTGGCATGCTGTCAATTAACTTCTGGGCCACATCCTGACTGATGGCAGCCCATTCTTGCATAATCAATGCTTGGAGTTTGTCAGAATTTGTGGGTTTTTGTTTGTCCACCCGCCTCTTGAGGATTGACCACAAGTTCTCAATGGGATTAAGGTCTGGGGAGTTTCCTGGCCATGGACCCAAAATGTCAATGTTTTGTTCCCTGAGCCACTTAGTTATCACTTTTGCCTTATGGCAAGGTGCTCCATCATGCTGGAAAAGGCATTGTTCGTCACCAAACTGTTTTTGGATGTTTGGGAGAAGTTGCTCTCGGAGGATGTGTTGGTACCATTCTTTATTCATTGCTGTGTTCTTAGGCAAAACTGTGAGTGAGCCCACTCCCTTGTCTGAGAAGCAACCCCACACATGAATGGTCTCAGGATGCTTTACTGTTGGCATGACACAGGACTGATGGTAGCGTTCACCTTGTCCTCTCCGGACTAACTTTTTTCCGGATGCCCCAAACAATCGGAAAGGGGATTCATCAGAGAAAATGACTTTACCCCAGTCCTCAGCTGTCCAATCCCTGTACCTACTGCAGAATATTAGTCTGTCCCTGATGTTTTTCCTGGAGAGAAGTGGCTTCCTCGCTGCCCTTCTTGACACCAGGCCATCCTCCAAAAGTATTCGCCTCACTGCGCTTGCAGATGCACTCACACCTGCCTGCTACCATTCCTGAGCAAGCTCTGCACTGGTGGTGCCCCAATCCCGCAGCTGAATCAACATTAGGAGAGAGTCCTGGCGCTTGCTGGACTTTCTTGGGCGCCCTGAAGCCTTCTTCACATCAACTGAACCTCTCTCCTTGAAGTTCTTGATGATCCGATAAATGGTTGATTGAGGTGCAATCATACTAGCAGCAATATCCTTGCCTGTGAAGCCCTTTTTGTGCAACGCAATGATGACGGCACGTGTTTCCTTGCAGGTAACCATGGTTAACAGAGGAAGAACAATGATTTCAAGCACCACCCTCCTTTTAAAGCTTCCAGTCTGTTATTCTAACTCAATCAGCATGACAGAGAGATCTCTAGCCTTGTCCTCGTCAACACTCTCACCTGTGTTAATGAAAGAATCACTGACATGATGTCAGCTGGTCCTTTTGTGGCAGGGCTGAAATGCAGTGGAAATGTTTTATTGGGGATTAAGTTAATTTTCATGGCAAAGAGGGACTTTGCAATTAATTGCAATTCATCTGATCACTCTTCATAACATTCTGGAGTATATGCAAATTGCCATCATAAAAACTGAGGCAGCAGACTTCGTGAAAATTTATATTTGTGTCATTCTCAAAACGTTTGACCACGACTATACAGAAAAATAGCTGTGAATGGATCAGTGGTTCACCAATCAGGGCCTTGATGGGCTCAGCAACAGTAACAAGGCGAGTTGTGTAATAAAACATTTTTGGGTGGTGAATGTTTCTTTTGGGATCATCAGGTGATGTCCTGACAACTGACAACTGTTCCCATGAAACGTGTCTAGAACATTAATATAATATGTTCTGAGAACATTGCATCCATGTTCTGTGTAAATTATGTTTGACATGTAGGGAATGTTCGCCAAAACATGCTAAATAGGTTCTCAGGAGGTTTTTGCTAACATACATAACATTTTCCCCTAACTAACGGAAAACTGGACACTCAAACATCTGGGGAACATTACAGGTAACATTACAAAAAAGTTATCTTTCTCTAGAATTTTAGCTGGGCTATCTCATCTAATATGGTGTTTACGTGGTACTGTACTCCATAATCCGCCCTGAATCTCCTACCTCTCCTTTTCCAGGTGGATGGACTGATGAAGACACTGCCAGTCCAACTCCAGCTAGGTGCAGTCAGGGTGTACCAGTCGGGCATGGCCGTCGCCCTGGAGACTGACTTCGGCCTCCTGGTGACCTATGATGGGCAGCACTACGCCTCCATTTCCCTGCCCAGCTCCTACTTCAACAACACATGCGGCCTGTGCGGTAACTATAACGACGACCCTGCCGATGACCCTGTGCTGCCCGACGGCTCGCTGGCCGAGAGCGTGGTGGAGCTGGGTGGCAGCTGGCGGGCGGAGGACGCTGACTGGCGCTGCACAGACGGCTGCGCCCAGAACTGCAGTATCTGTGACCCGTTGACCGAGGCATTCTACTTCCGCCCGGACTACTGTGGACTCATCAACAAGACGGACGGGCCTTTCAGGGACTGCAGGGCAGTGGTGGACCCAACGGCCTTCGTCTATAGTTGTGTCTACGACATGTGCAGCAACAGGGACAACAATACCACCCTCTGTCAGGCCATCCAGGCCTATGCCTTAGCCTGCCAAGCCCTGGGGGTCACCATACGAACCTGGAGGTCACGCACCTTCTGTGGTGGGTGTTCTTCTGTCCCGATATGTATCTACAGTGGGGGAAAAAAGTATTTAGTCAGCCACTAATTGTGCAAGTTCTCCCACTTAAAAAGATGAGAGAGGCCTGTAATTTTCATCATAGGTACACGTCAACTATGACAGACAAATTGAGATTTTTTTCCCCAGAAAATCACATTGTAGGATTTTTTATGAATTTATTTGCAAATTATGGTGGAAAATAAGTATTTGGTCACCTACAAACAAGCAAGATTTCTGGCTCTCACAGACCTGTAACTTCTTCTTTAAGAGGCTCCTCTGTCCTCCACTCGTTACCTGTATTAATGGCACCTGTTTGAACTTGTTATCAGTATAAAATACACCTGTCCACAACCTCAAACAGTCACACTCCAAACTCCACTATGGCCAAGACCAAAGAGCTGTCAAAGGACACCAGAAACACAATTGTAGACCTGCACCAGGCTGGGAAGACTGAATCTGCAATAGGTAAGCAGCTTGGTTTGAAGAAATCAACTGTGGGAGCAATTATTAGGAAATGGAAGACATACAAGACCACTGATAATCTCCCTCGATCTGGGGCTCCACGCAAGATCTCACCCCGTGGGGTCAAAATGATCACAAGAACGGTGAGCAAAAATCCCAGAACCACACGGGGGGACCTAGTGAATGACCTGCAGAGAGCTGGGACCAAAGTAACAAAGCCTACCATCAGTAACACACTACGCCGCCAGGGACTCAAATCCTGCAGTGCAAGACGTGTCCCCCTGCTTGAGCCAGTACATGTCCAGGCCCGTCTGAAGTTTGCTAGAGTGCATTTGGATGATCCAGAAAAGGATTGGGAGAATGTCATATGGTCAGATGAAACCAAAATAGAACTTTTTGGTAAAAACTCAACTCGTCGTGTTTGGAGGACAAAGAATGCTGAGTTGCATCCAAAGAACACCATACCTACTGTGAAGCATGGGGGTGGAAACATCATGCTTTGTGGCTGTTTTTCTGCAAAGGGACCAGGACGACTGATCCGTGTAAAGGAAAGAATGAATGGGGCCATGTATCGTGAGATTTTGAGTGAAAACCTCCTTCCATCAGCAAGGGCATTGAAGATGAAATGTGTCTGGGTCTTTCAGCATGACAATAATCCCAAACTCACCGCCCGGGCAACGAAGGAGTGGCTTCGTAAGAAGCATTTCAAGGTCCTGGAGTGGCCTAGCCAGTCTCCAGATCTCAACCCCATAGACAATCTTTGGAGGGAGTTGAAAGTCCGTGTTGCCCAGCGACAGCCCCAAAACATCACTGCTCTAGAGGAGATCTGCATGGAGGAATGGGCCAAGATACCAGCAACAGTGTGTGAAAACCTTGTGAAGACTTACAGAAAATGTTTGACCTGTGTCGTTGCCAACAAAGGGTATATAACAAAGTATTGAGAAACTTTTGTTATTGACCAAATACTTATTTTCCACCATAATTTGCAAATAAATTCATAAAAAATCCTAAAATGTGATTTTCTGGAGAAGAAAATTCTCGTTTTGTCTGTCATAGTTGACGTGTACTTATGATGAAAATTACAGGCCTCTCTCATCTTTTTAAGTCGGAGAACTTGCACAATTGGTGGCTGACTAAATACTTTTTTCCCCCACCGTATATGTCGGGTAGAAATTGTTTTGTTTGGACATTTAAAGGGACTCATAGCTACCTATTCTTAAAATATATATGTTACTTACTGTTTCTGTTAGGGATAGATCTAAATGTACCGGGGGGGAAGGGCTGGTCCAACTCAATGTGTCATAAAAATAAAATGCACCCCCCTCCCCAAAGTTGCAAATATTTTCACATGACCCTCCCCTTTTACCGTAAAATAAATTGAACACTCCCTCATAGAATTAACTCAAAATAATGTTTATGACCACAAAAACAATAACTTTGTTTATTAAAGTGGATATCAACTTTGCCACTTCAGCATGCTTTTGTGGCACAGTCGATGCCACGCAGGGCTACGGGCCAGAAAGTTGAGGGTTGGCCAACCACCACAGACGAGCTCACTCTCCCTGCCTGTTTCATTACACTACGATCAGAGCCGGCTGCAGACACTAATCAGCTAGGGGGAAATCTAATTTTCAACATTTTTATGCCATATTTATAGTTATATAAAATATATGCAATGAATTTTCCACCAACAGGCTTCTGTGCCAATGCACCACACAACCAATAAACAAAGCATACCGACTTTGGGCACTTCAATATCATGGTTTGCGTTTTTAACACCACAATAAATAGACTATGTCAATCTCGACAAACAGAAAATATATCCCTCCCTACCTTGTAGGCTTACCCAGTATTGAAGGCTTGGCTTGACAATCTCCGGATGCCATTAAACTTTTTGGTGTTTTGTAACAGATGTCTCTTTCCATTCATCAATTGGCCACTGCATTGATTGATTGATTTTATTTGTCAGTTAAAAAAATACATATATATGTAACAGTGTTGCTTCCGTCACTCTCCTCGCCCCTACCTGGGCTTGAACCAGGGACCCTCTGCACACATCGACAACAGTCACCCTCGAAGCACCATTACCCGTCGCTCCACAAAAGCCGCAGCCCTTGCAGAGCAAGGGAAACAACTACTTCAAGGTCTCAGAGCGAGTGACGTCACCGATTGAAACGCTACTAGTGCGCACCGCTAACTAGCTAGCCATTTCACACCGGTTACATATACACAAAAAATTTTTTAAGTGACCGGGATTGCACAATAAAGTCAGGGACTTATTTCCATTGCGGTACCTATTTTTTACATAATAACATTTACAATTATACATAAATACAGAGATAGAGATGAATAAATACTCAACCTCCAGATGAGTATGACGGGGGATTTTAAGGACAATTCTTACAACTTTGTTTGGCTGGTACCTTATTCTTTAGATGTTTGGGGCTGCTGGTGAACCATGATGTGCAGGCATAATCAAAGTGACACTGGACTAGCAAACTTGCCAGAGTCTTTAGGGTGTCTATTGCTAGGTTTCCATCCAATTGGCGACAGATTTTCATGCGAATATTCAAAAATCTTCATTTAAAAAAATGCCATTTCAGAGTTAGGAAAATTTGGCACCGGACAATATGACAGGGACGATTTTAATATACTGTCACGCTCGTCGACAGATGTGGACCAAGGCGCAGCGTGATAGGCGTACATACTTTATTAAGGTTACACAACAAGAACCAAAACAACAAAATGATACGTGAAGTCCTAGGTCATAACACAAACCTTACGTGACAGAAGATCCCACCACGACTGGATCAAGCAGTGTGAAGAGGAGAGAGGATGGACTTGGGAGGAGAGGAGAGAGATTCTGGCGAGAGGCATGGAGGCCATGTTCACGGGGGAGAGACAAGCCCCCCAAAAAATTAGGGGGGGGGCTCACGCCGTGGACGACGAGGCAGCAGGAGGCCGCGATAGAGCGGTTCAGCCGGTTAGCAGAGGAGGCCGCCAGGTTACGGGGGCTATTGGTCACAAGGGAGAAGGAGAGTGTGGAGGCACGGCGAGAGGAACTGGTTAGGCAGCAGAGGGAGCGGAGGTTTATGAGGAAACCCAGTCCTGCTCCTCGCACCAAGCAAGTGGTGTGTGTCACCAGTCCGGTCCGGCCCGTTCCTGATTCCCGCACAAGGCCAGTGGTGTGTGTTCCCAGTACAGTCAGGCCCGTTCCTGATTCCCGCACAAGGCCAGTGGTGTGTGTTCCCAGTACAGTCAGGCCCGTTCCTGCTCCCCGCACTAAGCCTGTGGTGCGTGTCGCCAGCCCGGTCCGGCCTGTTCCTGCTCCCCGCACCAAGCCAATGGTGCGCGTCGTCAGCCCGGTCCGGCCCGTTCCTGCTCCCCGCACCAAGACAGTGGTGCGCGTCGTCAGCCCAGTCCGGCCCGTTCCTGCCTCCCGCACCAAGCCAGTGGTGCGCGTCGTCAGCCCGGTCTGGCCCGTTCCTGCTCCCCGCACCAAGCCAGTGATGCGCGTCGTCAGCCCGGTCCGGCCCGTTCCTGCTCCCCGCACCAAGCCAGTGGTGCACGTCGCCAGCCCGGTCCGGCCCGTTCCTGCTCCCCGCACCAAGACAGTGGTGCGCGTCGTCAGCCCAGTCCGGCCCGTTCCTGCCTCCCGCACCAAGCCAGTGGTGCGCGTCGTCAGCCCGGTCTGGCCCGTTCCTGCTCCCCGCACCAAGCCAGTGATGCGCGTCGTCAGCCCGGTCCGGCCCGTTCCTGCTCCCCGCACCAAGCCAGTGGTGCACGTCGCCAGCCCGGTCCGGCCTGTTCCTGCTCCCCGCACCAAGCCAATGGTGCGCGTCGTCAGCCCGGTCCGGCCCGTTCCTGCTCCCCGCACCAAGCCAGTGGTGCGCGTCGTCAGTCCGGCACGGTCCGTGCCTGTTCCACCGGTGCCTGGTCAGCTGCTCCACGCCGGAGCCAGAGCAATCCGCTCCACCGGTGTTCAGTCCAGCTCTGGCCAGCGGGACCAGACCAGGGGCGCAACGGGGGGGTAGAGAGAGTGTGGTGGTCACGCCCGGAGCCGGATCCGCCTCCGAGGCGGAATGCCCACCCGGCCCCTACCCTCTTGTGTTTGGTTGGCGCGGTCGCAGTCCGTGCCTTTGGGGGGGGGTACTGTCATGCCCTGGCTCTGGGGACTCTTAATTGTTGAGCCAGGGTGTGGATTTTCTATGTTTTGTTTGCTATGGTTTTCGTTCTAGATCGGTTAGATCTATGTTGGCCAGGGTGGTTCCCAATCAGAGGCAGCTGTAGCTCGTTGTCTCTGATTGGGAACCATACTTAGGCAGCCTGTTTTCACTAGTCATTGTGGGATCTTGTTCCGAAAGGTTTGTGTTAACCTAGGACTTCACGTTTCGTTTGTTGTTTTGTTCGTGTGGTGTACTTCAATAAAAGATTGATACGTTTATCACGCTGCGCCTTGGTCCGCTTCATCTTATAACGATTGTGACATATACCTGACATTTGAGAACTGTTATGGACATCCATATACATTCAGAGCCAACCTGGTGCAGCCAGCGCCATCAATAAACAAGGGATGTTGGCCAAATAAGCCACATTTACGTGTCCTTAAAAACAGCCTATAACAATTTACAAAAACACTATTCCTTGTGTTTCGATGTGTAGCATATGCAAAACCTTTATAGCTACTTTCCTAAAACAATAATTGTCCACCTCATGGTTCAGCTGTCAGAGATTTTAGGACTAAATATATCAGGGCATTGCATGCAAAGGCCTATAGGCTTAGGTGTCCACTGTATGATAGTCATATTTTAATAAATATACATATATACAGTACCAGTGAAAAGTTTGGACACACCTACTCATTCAATAGTTTTTTCTTTATTTTTACTATTTTCTACATTGTAGAATAATAGTGAAGACATCAAAACTAGGAAATAACACATATGGAAACATGTAGTAACCAAAAAAGTGTTAAACAAATCAAAATATATTTTATATTTGAGATTCTTCAAATAGCCACCCTTTGCCTCGATGACAGCTTTGCACACTCTTGGCATTCTCTCAGTTTCACCTGGAATGCTTTCCCAACAGTCTTGAAGGAGTTCCCACATATGCTGAGCACTTGTTGGCTGCTTTTCCTTCACTCTGCCATCTGACTCATCCCAAACCATCTCAATTGGGTTGAGGTCGGGGGATTGTGGAGGCCAGGTCATCTGATGCAGTACTCTATCACTCTCCTTCTTGGTAAAATAGCCCTTACACAGCCTCGAGGTGTGTTGGGTCATTGTCCTGTTGAAAAACATATGATAGTCCCACTAAGCCCAAACCAGATGAGATGGAGTATCGCTGCAGAATGCTGTGGTAGCCATGCTGGTTAAGTGTGCCTTGAATTCTAAATAAATCACAGACAGTGTCACCAGCAAAGCACCCCCACACCATAACACCTCCTCCTCCATGCTTTACGGTGGGAAATACACATGCAGAGATCATCCGTTCACCCACACCGCGTCTCACAAAGCCACGGCGGTTGGAACCAAAAATCTCAAATTTGGACTCCAGACCAAAGGACAGATTTCCACCAGTCTAATGTCCATTGCTAGTGTTTCTTGGCCCAAGCAAGTGTCTTCTTCTTATTGGTGTCCTTTAGTAATGGTTTGTTTGCAGAAATTTGACCATGAAGACCTGATTCACACAGTCTCCTCTGAACAGTTGATGTTGAGATGTGTCTGTTACTTGAACTCTGTGAATCATTTATTTGGGCTACAATTTCTGCAGCAGCGGTAACTCTGGGTCTTCCATTCCTGTGAAGGTCCTCATGAAGGAGGGTCATTTGTAAATTTTCAATCCAAATATTTTATACAAAGATAAGCACTATATTGTTAGATTATAGGAATAACTCTGGTAGGCCTGAAACAGTCTTCCTCACCTCAAGTTCAATTGTCAGTTGGAGCGCCGGGGCGTACTGCCTTCATAGTATAGGCCTGCAGTAGCTAAAGCTTAATAATAGCCACACCATACCAAATCTTCACAAACATTTCTAAACTTTATTAGGGTAATATCAAAAATAAGTCAAGCCATTGTTTATAGGGAAAAAACGAGCAGAAGAGGGGAAAAACGCACTACCCCCCCCCCGAAATACACACAACCCTATGCAAAAACAAAATAATGTTTGACAACCCTCCCACCATTAAATGTCTATCTGTCCCTAAGATGTGGTTAATATTGCTTATTCCAAAAGCTGTTTTTATCTCTCGTCCCCCCCCCACTACTATATCATAATGTAATAGCTATCCTAAGTTGAATGCACCAATTTGTAAGTCGCTCTGGATAAGAGCATCTTCTAAATGACTTAAATGTAAATTTATTATGATTTGTTATATACTGTAACATCCTCTTTCTCCTTTGATTGGCTGCCAGCCCTGACATGCCCTGAGTCCAGCCACTACCAGGTGTGCACCAGTGCCTGCGCCGCCTCGTGCTCGGACCTCACCTCCCACCTGTACTGCACCCACCCCTGCACAGAAGGCTGCCAGTGCGACCCGGGCTACGTGCTGAGTGGCAACCGCTGCGTCCGGCGCCAGGACTGTGGCTGCGAGCGTGAAGGCCTCTACTACCCACTCAACGACACTTTCTGGGCGGGCACCACTGGCGAGGACGGAGAGTGCACCCTGCGCTGCGTCTGTGGGCCCAACGGCAAAGTCTCCTGCTTCAACGATTCGTGTAGAGAAGGCGAGGTGTGTGTGGCAGAGTTCGGCCTGTTGGGCTGTTACCCCCGCAGGGAGGGGGTGTGTTCTCTGGGCCAGAATGTTGTGACGGCCTCTTTCGACGGGGCCTCCATGCCCTTCCCGGACGACAGCTCCTACTACCTGCTGAGGTCATGTGGGCCAGCGCCGGCCAACGTGTCGGCTGTGGAGGTGAAGATGGGCCGGCGGCTGGTAAACAAGGGTCCGTCCTGGATGCGGCCCGTGGTGGTCAGGGTGGCCAACCTGGAGGTCCAGATGGGTGGATCGGACTTTGACATAGTGAAGGTCAGTATTATAGCCTGGTGCTCCAGGCACAGGAGGTTGGTGGCACCTTAATTGGGGAGGACGGGCTCATGGTAATGGCTGTAGTGGAATAAGTGGAATAGTATCAAACGCATGGTTTCCATTTTGTGTATGCCATTCCATTCGCTCCGTTACAGCCATTATTATGAGCAGTCCTCCCCTCAGCAGCCTCCACTGGACCCAGGGTAACTTCTGGACTAATAATCACTTTCAGTGGAGAAATTTCATTTAGCATTCTTTTACACCAGGAGTAGGCTAAATATGAGTCTGGGAAACTGGCCCTGAAAGTCTGTCATCATGAGATGAATACCTTTCTCATTGGGGGAAAGGAGTTCCAATGATGGGTCTTAAGGTTATTATGCTGGTGGTGGTGGGGAGATAGAAGGTCATTGGACAACTGTTGCTGCAAAACAACAAGTGGAAGACACAAGATTTGAGTTGACATATAAATACTCCCCTAGATTCATGCCAATTGGTTGATAGGAAGGCTAGTGATTATTGTAGGTTAATCAGCAACAGTGGTGGAATTGGCTTAGTGTGCCATGCTCATAGGCTGAACTTAATAGGTGAATGACATTCCACATGCTTGCTAATGGGAAAGGAGGAAGAGACGTGATGCTAAACTGATGAGGTAACATTACAACACTACCCTATAAATACCTGCTATGCTGACAAGGTATCATTATAACTACTACCATTTAAATACCTGCTATGCTGATGAGTGAGATAGGAAGCAATGTGAATTATGAGTTTACTAGATGAATGAAAAGATCCATTCAGACCAGCCTTACTTATTGAACTTTCGTAACTACATAACAGAGATAGCACTGCACTACATTACAGTGATTGAATGTTGCTGCTACTACCTCTCTATGAGATAATGTTATGATGTGTCTAAATCCCAGCTGAACGGTGAGCTGGTACTGTTGCCTTATGTCCACCCACTGGAGACCCTTATGATCTACCGCGCCCCGGGCAACGCTACCATTGTGGAGTCCAACGGATTGGTCTCAGTCCGCTACACCCGCCAGGGCCTCCTCAACATCTCTCTCTCTACCCTCTTTTACAACGCCACCTGCGGCCTGTGTGGCCTCTTCAACGGAAACGCCAGCGATGATCTCCGTCTGCCTGACGGCCGGCTGGCCGAATCTCCCGAACTTTTCACTGACGGCTGGCGGGCCATCGCCGACGACCTGACGTGCAATGGCGATTGCGACAACCTGTACCGCATGTGCGCGGACCTGCGGCTCTACCAGAGCCCATGGATGTGCGGCAACATCAACGACCCGGGGAACAGCTCCTTCCTGGCGTGCCATGGCGCCGTCAACCCCTCGCCGTTCTTCCGGAACTGCCTGTACAACATGTGCGTGCGGGAGGGAAACCGCTCAGTGCTCTGCTCTTCGCTGCAGGCGTATGCCTCGGCCTGTCAAGATGCCCAGATGGGCCTTGCTGCCTGGAGGAGTGCTACCAATTGCTGTGAGTTAGTCCACCGCCACCACCTTGGAGTGATGTTGAGTGATGGACTGATTATGTATTTTTCCTTTATGAACCAAACCTTGGCTCTGCTAATTCTGAATATCCCTTTCTCTTGTTTCTGTCTCTGTCTGTCCCGACCTCTCTCTCTGTCTCTCTCATTTTCTCTCACTCTCTTTTATTTTCTGTCACTGTCCCACTCTCTCTCTCTATATATTTGTATTTTACCCCAATCTCATCTCTCTCCCCCACACCTCTCTCTCCTTCTCGCAGCCTTGCCCTGTCCGGAGAACAGTCACTTCAACGAGTGCACCAGCGCTTGCCCGCTGACCTGCGCTGGCCTGGACGAGCCCAACGAGCTGTGCCCACTGCCCTGCCAGGAGGGCTGCCAGTGTGTGGAGGGCTTTGCGCTGCGTGACGGCCAGTGCGTGGCACGCAGCGACTGCGGCTGCATCAGCTCTGCAGGCCGGCAGCTGGCCACCAACCAGACCTTCTGGACCGACTGGGAGTGCCAGGAGCGCTGCTACTGCAACGGCTCAGACAACAGCATCTACTGCACGCTGGCGCCGTGCCCGAAGGATGAGTACTGCCAGGAGGGCCTTGAGGGCCTCTACTTCTGCCAGCCGCGCACCGAGGCGCTGTGCATTGCCGCTGGTTACAGCCACTTCCTGCCATTCGGCGGTGTGCCCTTCGAGCTGCAGAGTAGCTGTACCTTGAGGCTGGCTACAACGAGGTGCAACGGCGGGGTGGCGGGAGAGGAGGATATGGACCAGAGTGCCGCCACCCGACCCAGGATGAGCACCAGCGTCGACCTCCCTCTCTTCAAGCTGTCAGCCCGGAACGAGGAGCGGGACACGGGGCAAGCCATCTGGGTGAGGGGGTTCATCTTGGAAGTCTATGGCTATGAGATTGAGGTGTCTCGGAGCTACAAACACACCATCACGGTGAGTGTATTATGCACTTTTCACCTTTCCATCCTGAATTATACTGTACTGGCTCTGATATTTTCATCTCCCATTGTCCTTTTTAAGCACGATTCCAGAAACTATGGTGGATGCGCAACTAGGACAGCTCAGTAAAGTTTGGTTTGACTCGGCTCAGTTTGACTCAGTAGGGTGTAAAGGCTGGGGCACTGTCAGTCTTGTTAGACTTTATTAGGAAGAAACACCTGTGGTAACTAATGAAAACAGGCCAAGAATCTTACCAATGCTTTTCAGAGATTCCAATTGAAAAATGACAGGAGAAATGTGTTTTTACTATGTCTTGACACTTTTCATTTCAATGCATATTCATCCTTCCAGTGTGACTGATGTGTTGTGAATGTCACACAGACGTGTGAGGGAGAGTTATTTGTTAATCAAGCCAATAGAATAGCGGAGCAAAGAGTAAATTCCTCTTTGATTGGCTCAGGGCGGATCTTATTTAAATCGGCAACTTTTATCAGGCTGGATTGGGCTCAGAGGAACGGCTGACCTGAGCGACATTTGGAAAAGAATCATAAACCAACCCAAAGATCTGAGGAGAACCATAATACACACACTCGATCCTATACACTCACACTCGCTAGATATCACACACACACACACACACAAACAGCCAAGACTCACTCTCCCATGCTCTCTCCCAGGTGAATAAGGAGCGTCTGTACCTGCCTCTGAAGCTGGGGCCGGGGAAGGTCCACATCTTCACCTTCGGCATGCAGCTGGTGGTGGAGACGGACTTTGGCCTGAAGGTTGCCTTCGACTGGAACACGCTGCTCCTGCTCACGCTGCCTCGACACCTCTACAACGCCACCTGCGGCCTGTGCCAGGGCATGCCACTTTCCTCTCCACCTGCCCTTACCACCAGCAACTGGGGCATGGCCTGGGCTGAGCGGGACACCTTCTGCCAGGTGGGCTGCGGCGACTCGTGCCCACGTTGCGGGTTGGTAGAGAGAGGCCTCGGTGCCATCGACGCCCCTCTACTCGTCACAGACGCCTACGTGGAAGGCGGGGCCCACGATGGTGAGGGAGGAGGCATCAATGTTGATGGCGGGGGTTACACGGGAATCCGATTCCACCTGGGCGATGGGCTGTTTGTGGAGCCCGAGGCGGTGCGTCTGTGCGGGCTGATCAAGGACCGCGGCGGTGTGTTTGCGCGCTGCCACAGCAAGGTGGCGCCGGTGTTCTTCTACCAGAGCTGCCTGCAGGACACGTGCCTGGACAAGGGTGCCCCGGAGACCATTTGCAACTGGCTGCAGATCTACACCAGCACATGCCAGACCCAGGGGGTGCGCGTGTTAGGCTGGAGGAGTGACACACCCTGTGGTGAGTACAATAATAATTGAGGCATGAATCAAGTTGATTGAGTAGAGTAGAGTTGAGTTGAGTTTAATTCTCTCCAGCCCAGCTGGAGACTTATCTTACATGGGACTGCTCCTCAATAGTAATAATCTATTAGATAATAACAACTGATACTTTCACCAAGTTCTCAGTCATATTAGTAAAGGAGAGATGAATCACAAAGCAGCAGCTTTATGTTACACTCCTACACAATGACATACACTTTCACATGAATAACTAACTGATATTTTCATGTTTGTTCTTATCTATTCTGCATCTATTATTCCACTTTGCACCCAAACTGTAATCTGTCCAGAGAACCAATGCCAGGTAAATGAAAACATGTAATCATCATGTCTGTGTCTCAATCAAAGGCATCATATTCCCTATATAATGCTAGTGCACTACATAAGGAATAGGGTGCCATTTTAGACGCAACCCATATTTTCGTTACCCATTTTCTCCTTCACCAGTGCTGACGTGCCCAGCCAACAGCCACTACTCTGGCTGCATGTCAGTGTGCCAGCCGCAGTGCACCCCAGCCCACGGCCAGAGGGAGTGCACCCAGGACTGTGTGGAGGGCTGCCAGTGTGACCAGGGCTACGTCCTCAATGGCAAAGGTTGCATCCTGCCCCAGAACTGTGGCTGCTACAACGACGGCAAGTACTATGAGGTGAGTCAGTCACACAGACAGTAGTCTCTCTCCACAGACATTCATATACACGTGACAAGCTAGTTAGCTCGAGATTTCAATTATGTCTTGTGAAAGTACACAGACAGTTAAAGACGCACCACAGCTATTTTAGAACTTTTTCAGTTGAAAAGTAGGCCATTCAAGGAGTTGGTCTGATGGTGCCCTCTGATGTCATGCCCCCCCTTGCTTGTGGGAACAATAGAGGAGCAATAGAGAACAAAATAGGAAATCAGGTGATATATGAGGTGAAAAGGAGACTGGAGTGCAACTAAACTAATAAATTGTCTGTTGGGTGAACTAAACACTATGGAGTAATATTCGGCATTTGAAATCCTCTCCTAGAGGTTTAAATATTGTAACATTGAACCGGCACACACTGTATATTTGAGTTAAGTGTAATAATTTTTTGTGGCAGTTGTTGCATCATATGCCATTCCAGTTAGCACAACGTTCTGAGAACCATATGTTTCTTAGAGCTTGTGAGAGCGTGGTTGTCCTATGGTTATTTTGCATACATCCTTCCCATAACTTTCTGGGAATGGTTCAGGATAGTTGCTTGGCTTTTAAACATTCTCAGCGCATTTAAGGAACTTGACAAAAAAACATTATTGCCGTTTCATTACTTTAACAGAACGTTTCCTAAAAGTTCAAACATTGTCACATTTTGACATTGGGAATAGTTGACATTGGGAATGTTCTCAAATTCTTCCAAGAACGTTAACAAAACAATGTTCTTCTGTGGGAATTTCAGTACTTCAGTGTAGAGTTTCCTACAGGTTTCCTCATGGTTCTATTTAAAGTAATGTTCTCAAATTGTTCCCGAGAACATTAAGAAAACTTTCCATAAAAACCACAAGAAAACCTTTGTAACGTTCAGAGAACGTTGAAAGAACATATACATTCCGTTCTCAGCATGTCCAGGCCCGTCTGAAGTTTGCCAATGACCATCTGGATGTAACTTAATGATGGTGTTGGAATCGTGCTTGGCCATGCAGTCATGGGTGAACAGGGAGTACAGGAGGGGACTGAGCACGCACCCCTGAGGGGCCCCCGTGTTGAGGATCAGCGTGGCAGATGTGTTGTTACCGACCCTTACCACCTGAGGGCGGCCCGTCAGGAAGTCCAGGATCCAGTTGCAGAGGGAGGTGTTTAGTCCCAGGGTCCTTAGCTTAGTGATGAGCATTGAGGGCACTATGGTGTTGAATGCTAAACTGTAGTCAATGAATAGCATTCTCACTTACGTGTTCCTTTTGTCCAGGTGGGAAAGGGCAGTGTGGAGTGCAATAGAGATTGCATAATCTGTGGATCTGTTGGGGCGGAATGCAAATTGGAGTGGGTCTAGGGTTTCTGGGATAATGGTGTTGATGTGAGCCATGACCAGCCTTTCAAAGCACTTCATGGCTACAGACGTGAGTGATATGGGTCTGTAGTCATTTAGGCAGGTTACCTTCGTGTTCTTGGGCACAGGGACTATGGTGGTCTGCTGGAAACATGTTGGTATTACAGACTCAGTCAGGGACAGGTTTAAAATGTCAGTGAAGACATTTGCCAGTTGGTCAGCGCATGCTCGGAAGAATCCCGGGAACATATTCCAGTCTGTGCTAGCAAAACAGTCCTGTAGCTTAGCATCTGCGTCATCTGACCACTTCTGTATTGAGCGAGTCACTGGTACTTCATGCTTTAGTTTTTCCCTTGTAAGCAGGAATCAGGAGGATAGAATTATGGTCAGATTTGCCAAATGGAGGGCAAGGGAGAGCTTTGTACGTGTCTCTGTGTATTGTTTTGTTTTTATTATTATTATAATATATTATTTTTTTACTTAACACTTATTTTTCTTAAAACTGCATTGTTGGCTAAGGGCTTGTAAGTTAAAATTTTACTGTTGTATTCGGCGCATGTGACAAATACAATTGATTTGATAATTTCCATTCTCAGAGGGTTAATAAAACCTCCCAGGAAACATAGCCACAGGATGTAGGGGTGCTGAGGGTGCTACAGCACCCCCTGAATAATCGTAATAAAAAAAAAAAGAATAATAGCGAAGACATCAAAACTATGAAATAACACATATGGAATCATGTAGTAACCAAAAAGGTGTTAAACAAATCAAGAGTGTGCAAAGCTGTCATCAAGGCAAAGGTTGGCTATTTGAAGAATCTCAAATATGTTGATTTGTTTAACACTTTTTTGGTTACTACATGATTCCATATGTGTTATTTCATAGTTTTGATGTCTTCACTATTATTCTACAATGTAGAAAATAGTAAAAATAAAGAAAAACCCTTGAATGAGTTGGTGTTCTAAAACTTTTGATAGGTAGTGTATGTTGTGGAAAAAATATATTTTCACTAAAGTAGTGCCCTGGGCCTTTACTGGTCCTGTATTATCGGAGCAATATAGCCATCTGTAGCACAGGTTTATACAGGTAAAATCCCATTGTGATTGTAATCTATTTTGTGATCAAGGTAAGGCATTTAAAAAATATATTCTCAAAGGAGTTCATTAAGTTTGTTTCCTTCCCCTCCCCCTCACTCTCCCTCCTCCAGCCCAAACAACTGTTCTGGAACAGCGACTGCACCAAGCGCTGCCAGTGCATCGGCCGTAATCTCATCCAGTGTGACCCGCGCCGCTGCAAGGCCGAGGAGGAGTGCGCCCTGCGCCATGGTGTGCGCGGCTGCTTTGCCCGGCGCTCGCAGCACTGTGTGGCGTCTGGCGGCGGTGTCTTCAGGACCTTTGACGGTGCGTCCCTCCGCCTGCCTGCCTCCTGCTCCTTTGTGCTGTCCACCAACTGCCACAAGCTACCTGACCTCTCCTTTCAGCTCATCGCAAACTTCGACAAGTGGAGCACGCCCAACCTCACCACCATCTCCCATGCGTACCTCTATATTAACGAGGAGAATATCCTGATCTCCAGGAGCACCGTGAAGGTGATGGGGAGGGAGATTAATGGATGAATTAAAGGGTGGTTCGATGGATGGATGGATGGATGGATGAGTGCATGGCCGCAGGAAGATATTTTGGGGTGGGGGTGCTGTCAATGGGGGAATTGTATGTTTGCATCACTTTAGCATCTGTTTATTTTGGAGAAAATACATTTGAAATGTGGGTGTTTTAATTAGTTTGAGGTTAGATGGTGAGTCATGTGTGTAGTTATATCATACAATTATTTGTGTGTGTACTTAAAAAGTCTGACCATGTGTGCATGAATCTCACAGCCTGTCCTCCCCCCAACCAGGTGAACGGCACGCCCGTGTCAGTGCCTTTCGTCACGGGCCTGACGCACGTCTCCACGTCGGAGGGCTTCCTGGTCATCGACACGCTGCAGGACATCCAGGTGCGCTACAACCGCTTCAACACGCTCAGCATCACTATGGGCCAGCGGCTGCAAGACAAGGTTTGTTGTTGTTTTCCCTTATGGTTGGAGAGCATTATGTAAGCATTATGTAGCACATTATATGGTTACTGTAAAGCATCTTTGGGTTTTAGAAAATAACTATGAGAGCTATAAAAGAGCACGTATTATTATTATTATTAAGGTGTGCGGCCTTTGCGGCAACTTCAACGGAGACCCCACTGACGACTACATCACCTCCCGCGGGAAGCCAGCTGTCAGCGCCCTGGAGCTGGCCCAGAGCTGGAAGACCAATGGCATGCAGAACAGGTGAGGGGGAGAGGAGCCATGGGGAAGGGGGGGCATGGGAGAGATAGACAGTTAGTGGATAAAGTGACAGTTCTATTTATATATATATATATATATATATATATACAGTGAAGGAAAAAAGTATTTGATCCCCTGCTGATTTTGTACGTTTGCCCACTGACAAAGACATGATCAGTCTATAATTTTAATGGTAGGTTTATTTGAACAGTGAGAGACAGAATAACAACAAAAAAATCCAGAAGAACGCATGTAAAAATGTTATAAATTGATTTGCATTTTAATGAGGGAAATAAGTATTTGACCCCCTCTCAATCAGAAAGATTTTTGGCTCCCAGGTGTCTTTTATACAGGTAACGAGCTGAGATTAGGAGCACACTCTTAAAGGGAGTGCTCCTAATCTCAGCTTGTTACCTGTATAAAGAACACCTGTCCACAGAAGCAATCTATCAATCAGATTCCAAACTCTCCATCATGGCCAAGACCAAAGAGCTCTCCACAGATGTCAGGGACAAGATTGTAGACCTACACAAGGGCTGGAATGGGCTACAAGACCATCGGCAGGGGATCAAATACTTTTTTCCCTCACTGTACATATATATATATACCAGTCAAAAGTTTGGACACACCTACTCATTCAAGGGTTTTTCTTTATTTTTCACTATTTTCTACATTGTAGAATAATAGTGAAGACATCAAAACTATGAAATAACACATATGGAATCATGTAGTAACCAACATTTTTTAAAACAAATCAAAATATATGTTATATTTGAGATTCTTCAAATAGCCACTCTTTGCACTGATGACAGCTTTGCACACTCTTGGCATTCTCTCAACCAGCTTCACCTGGAATGCTTTTCCAACAGTGTTGAAGGAGTTCCCACATATGCTGAGCACTTGTTGGCTGCTTTTCCTTCACTATGCTGTCTGACTCATTCCAAACCATCTCAATTGGGTTGAGGTTGTGGGATTTTGGAGGCCAGGTCATCTGATGCAGCACTCCATCACTCTCCTTCTTGGTAAAATAGCCCTTACACAGCCTAGAGGTGTGTTGAGTCATTGTCCTATTGAAAAACAAATGATAGTCCCACTAAGCCCAAACCAGATGCGATGGCGTATCACTGCAGAATGCTGTGGTAGCCATGCTGGTTAAGGTTGCCTTGAATTCTAAATTAATCACAGACAGTGTCAACAGCAAAGCACCCCCGCACCATAACACCTACTCCTCCATGCTTTACGGTGGGAAATACACATGCGGAGATCATCCGTTCACCCACACCGTGTCTAACAAATGTCCATTGCTCGTGTTTCTTGGCCCAAGCAAGTCTCTTCTTCTTATTGGTGTCCTTTAGTAGTGGTTTCTTTTCAGCAATTTAACCATGAAGGCCTGATTCACACGGTCTCCTCTGAACAGTTGATAGTGGGATGTGTCTGTTACTTGAACTCTGTGAAGCATTTATTTGGGCCGCAAATTCTGAGGCTGGTAACTCTAATGAACTTATCCTCTGCAGCAGAGGTAACTCTGGGTCTTCCATTCCTGTGGCGGTCCTCATGAGAGCCAGTTTCATCATAGCGCTTGATGGTTTTTGCGACTGCACTTGAAGAAACTTTAAAAGTTCTTGACATTTTCCAAATTGACTCACCTTCATGTTTTAATGTAATGATGGACTGTCGTTTCTCTTTGCTTATTTGAGCTGTTCTTGCCATAATATGGACTTGGTATTTTATCAAATAGGTCTATCTTCTGTATACCCCCCTTACCTTGTCACAACACAACGGATTGGCTCAAATGCATTAAGAAGGAAAGAAATAACACAAATGTACTTTTAAGAAGGCAAACCTGTTAATTGAAATGCATTCCAGGTGACTACCTCATGAAGCTGGTTGAGAGAATGCCAAGAGTGTGCAAAGCTGTCATTAAGGCAAAGGATGGCTATTTGAAGAATCTCAAATATAAAATATATTTTGATTTGTTTGACACTTTTTTGGTTACTACATGATTACATATGTGTTATTTCATAGTTTTGATATCTTCACTATTATTTCTACAATGTTGAAAATAGTAAAAATAAAGAAAATCCCTTGAATGAGCAGGTGTTCTAAAACTTTTGACCAGTAGTGTATATATATTTTTACAAATATGGTGGTGTTGCTTCCTCCAAGCCATTAAAAAATGTGTTTGCTGGTTATTTAGTAACGTCCAGAATCTCCTAGGATTAATGGAGAATGTAGTGGTGCTAGTTGAAACATATTGTATCGTTGGTGCACTCAAAGCATGGATTGATCTGGCCAACTCTACCTCTACCTCCCATCTCTTCGCCCTCCCACAGCTGTGATGAGACCCAGTATGTGGCACTGGCCCAGTCGTGTGAGAACACAGCCGTAATGGGCCTCCAGGTCGAGGAGGGGTGCCAGAAGCTCACCCAGATGAAGGGCTTCTTCCAGCCCTGCCACGGCCTGCTGGACCCTAGGCCCTTCTACCAGTCCTGCTACCTGGACGGTTGCTACAATCACCACAAGGCCCAGGTGTGCGGCTCGCTGGCTGCCTACGCCGAAGCCTGCCGCTCCCTGGGCAGGCTCACCACCAAGTGGATTGCCCAGGAGAATTGCTGTAAGGGCACGGTCATTGGGACAGTCATGGGGGCATGGCACCACTGGCAGGAGATAATTAATATTGAATATTCTGAGAACATGGTAACCACGTTCTGGGCAAGTTCTGTTTGAGGGAATGGTCTCTTGGAAACAGTCCTTACACATCACTGGAACATTCGTATGAAAAGATTAGGTAATGACCTAATGAGACTATAAATGGAACGTTCTCCAAAGTTGTGGGAATGTTTTTTTGTTAGCTGGGAGGTTTATGCAATTAAATTATCAGGTAGGACAGAAAACCAGCAGTACTCTGGATCTTGTAGGGTACGATTTGAAAACCCCTACTTTAAGGTAACATACAGTGGTCTGCAGGGGTAGGTCCTTGGACCATTATTGTTCTTACTACACATGCTACCAATGGGGGATGTAAAACACAAAACACTTTGTGCAATGGTTATGGCTTTCATTGTTACGCAGATGATACACAGTTAACTGAGGTGTAGCTGAGGGGTCAATTAATTACTTGGGTGTAGAGCCAAACTTGAGATACGTATGGGTAACTTGAGCTTAGAGGGAAATTTCAGGAAAATGTGAGTTACATTTCTCTAAAACATAGCATCAGGCTATTCAAGAATGACAGTTAGTTCAGTTGGGTTCTCATGGGTGAGTGTTAGTGGTGTGACAGCTAACATTGTTCCTGGATCTGTTTTTAGCAGAATGGATCCATGACCCCTGCGCAGGAGAGATCTGCACCAACAACACGTGTGAGCAGGAGAACGGGGGAGACATGTGTGGCTGCCCCGAGCTGCCCAACAACGCTGGTGGTGAGTGCGAGGGGGTGTGGAGTGGGGGAGTTGAGGGAAGGGGGATGAGCGAGGGGGGGAAGATGTTGATTGTTAGGGCTAGACAAGCATAGAGAAAAATGTGTCCATCTCTACTGTATGTAGAAATGTTAATTTTTTTATCTCAATCATTTATTTATCCTGCTCAGTCTCATTTTGATCAAACCTCTTACAAGAAATAACTGTGTTGTGTTCACTAGGCATGAAATGGGAGTAAACCGTTTGAACACACACGACTTAAGCCCAAGTCTAGCAACTGTATACAAGGTAGCTACCGTATTCTTATGATTCTCAAGGTCTGTGTTTCCCCGCTAGGCGAGGATGACATCATCCAGGCGGAGGTGACGTGTAAGCACGCCCAGATGGAGGTGTCCATCTCCAAGTGTAAGCTCTTCCAGCTGGGTTTCGAGCGTGAGGACGTGAGGATCAACGACCAGTACTGCCCTGGCATTGAGGGAGAGGACTTCATCTCTTTTCACATCAACAACACCAAGGGCCATTGCGGCTCCATTGTACAGGTAATTAACCACAGATCTAAGGTCAGTGAATCATTTTTCAATTCGAACATTAATCATCAGCGCTGTGATAATATATCTGTCCCTGAATGAGTGGTCTCCTTCTCATAACGGACAGTGTGGCTCAATCGGATAGGTAGCCACAGATCTATAGTCAGATTATTATACCGTTAATCATAACACTAATCATTAAGGGATGGAAAAATATCTGATCCTGGATCAGTGGTTAGAGTGCTACTTCCACCTACGGGTGGCGAACACATGCCTTAGGCTTGTGACTCATCCCCAAGGGCTGATAGGGCTCCATTTTCCTGGTGAGAAACTGCTATAATCCGTATAGCCAATAGGGTAGACCTGTCCTCCTACACTGCAAAAAGTGAAATCTAAGAAAGCCTAAATACACTACCGGTCAAAAGTTATAGAAAACCAACCTATTTTGTAAAATAATAGCGAAGACATCAAAACTATGAAATAACACATTTGGAATCATGTAGTAACCAAAAAAGTGCCAAACAAATCAAACTATATTTTATATTTGAGATTCTTCAAATAGCCACCCTTTGCCTTGATGACAGCTTTGCACACTCTTGGCATTCTCTCATCCAGCTTCATGAGGTAGTCACTTGGAATGCATTTCAATTAACAGGTGTGCCTTCTTAAAAGAAAATTTGTGGAATTTCTTTCCTTCTTAATGCGTTTGAGCCAATCAGTTGTGTTGTGACAAGGTAGGGGGGTACACAGAAGATAGCCCTATTTGGTAAAAGACCAGGTCCATATTATGGCAAGAACAGCTCAAATAAGCAAAGAAAAACGACAGTCCATCATTACTTTAAGACATGAAGTTCAGTCAATACGGAACATTTCAAGAACTTTGAAAGTTTCTTAAAGTGCAGTCGCATGAGGCTGGTTCTCATTAGGACCGCCACAGGAATGGAAGACCCAGTTACCTCTGCTGCAGAGGATAAGTTCATTAGAGTTACCAGCCTCAGAAATTGCAGCCCAAATAAATGCTTCACAGTGTTCAAGTAACACATCTCAACATCAAATGTTCAGAGGAGATTGTGTGAATCAGGACTTCGTGGTCGAATTGCTGCAAAGAAACCACTACTAAAGGACACCAATAAGAAGAAGAGACCTGCTTGGGCCAAGAAACACGAGCCATGGACATTCGACCGGTGGAAATGTGTCCTTTGGTCTGGAGTCCAAATTTGAGATTTTTGGTTCCAACCAAATCAAATCAAATCAAATCAAATTTTATTGGTCACATGCGCCGAATACAACAGGTGCAGACATTACAGTGAAATGCTTACTTACAGCCCTTAACCAACAGTGCATTTATTTTAAACAAACAAGTAAGAATAAAACAACAACAAAAAAGTGTTGAGAAAAAAAGAGCAGAAGTAAAATAAAGTGACAGTAGGGAGGCTATATATACAGGGGGGTACCGTTGCATAGTCAATGTGCGGGGGCACCGGCTAGTTGAGGTAGTTGAGGTAATATGTACATGTGGGTAGAGTTAAAGTGACTATGCATAAATACTTAACAGAGTAGCAGCAGCGTAAAAAGGATGGGGTGGGGGGGGCAGTGCAAATAGTCCGGGTAGCCATGATTAGCTGTTCAGGAGTCTTATGGCTTGGGGGTAGAAGCTGTTGAGAAGTCTTTTGGACCTAGACTTGGCACTCCGGTACCGCTTGCCGTGCGGTAGCAGAGAGAACAGTCTATGACTAGGGTGGCTGGAGTCTTTGACAATTTTGAGGGCCTTCCGTCTTTGTAAGACGGACAATGACCCAACACACCTCCAGGCTGTGTAAGGGCTATTTTACCAAGAAGGAGAGTGATGGAGTGCTGCATCAGATGACCTGGCCTCCACAATCCCCCGACCTCAACCCAATTGAGATGATTTGGGATGAGTCGGACAGCAGAGTAAAAGAAAAGCAGCCAACAAGTGTTCAGCATATGTGGGAACTCCTTCAAGAATGTTGGGAAAGCATTCCAGGTGAAGCTGGTTGAGAGCATGCCAAGAGTGTGCAAAGCTGTCATCAAGGCTAAGGGTGGCTAAGGGTAAATATTAAGAAAAACCCTTGAATGAGTAGGTGTTCTAAAACCTTTATAATGAGTGATAATTCTCTTAAAATTAGTGGTTTTTTTCTAGTTTTTTCATACAAAGCTAAATTATCTTAACGTCATACGCAGATAGTTTTGCTTATTTTAACCTAAAAAAGTCTTAATACAGGTAATGTATCTTATTTCAAAATATTTTACCTTAATACGAGGTAAAATATTGTGAAAAATATATTGAAATAAGATAAATGACTTGTATTAAGCCTTTAGTTTAAAATAGGCAAAATTACCTGCCAATGACATTAGATAATTTACTTGATAAAATTAAAAAAACGATATATATTTTTATCAGTCAATATAAGATACGCTACATGACCAAAAGTATGCGGACACCTTCTCGTTGAACATCTCATTCCAAAATCATGGGCATTAATATGGAGTCCCCCCTTTCCTGCTATAACAGCCTCCACTCTTCTGGGAAGGCTTTCCACTAGATGTTGGAACATTGCTGTGTGGACTTGCTTCCATTCAGCCACTAATTTGAAGGGGTGTCCACATACTTACGTATATATCGTTTATTTAGGTTTGCTTAGATTTAACTTTTTGCGGTGTATCCAAATGGCCAGTAGGGCTCCATGTTACTGGTGAAATCTCTTCCCAGATCAATAGGCATACTATACCTACTGTAATGACGGTTATTGTCTGGCATTTCTATCTTCAAAATGTGACAATTTTATTTTCTACCAGTCCAACGGCACACACATCATGTACAAGAACACGGTGTGGATCGAGAGCTTGAATAACACGGGCAACATCATCACCAGGGACAAGACAATCAACATGGAGTTTTCCTGCGCCTACGAGCTAGACCTCAAGATATCCTTGGAGACCGTGCTCAAGCCCATGCTCAGGTTAGAGGACCTACTTTTTCTCAACAGTAGAGCTGTAAACTTTCCCAAAATTACCAGGTTTTCCAGAAATCTCAATTGTAAGATTCCCGGAATCAGAAGAGAATAAGCAGGAAATCTGGAATCCTTGAATCAGAATTTATGGAAAACCTGGGAAATTTGGGAAAGTTAAGAGAATTTTGCAACTCTACATGATGAAATGTAGTCTGAAATATGCATTTATTTTGGTTTTATATCTATACATTTATGTGAATGATAGAGATATAGTATGTGCCATGTCACATTGGACAAGAGATTGCACACAAGACCAATGTTTTCCATCGCCTGACTTCCCTCTCTCTATTCCCCCCCCCCCCCTTATCTCTCTCTCTCTCCCAAACTCCCTCTCGCTCTCTCTCTCTCCCCCTCTCTCCAGTGTTATCAACCTCACCCTTCCCACCCAGGAAGGTAACTTCATCACCAAGATGGCGCTGTACAAGAACTCCTCGTACCGCCAGCCTTACCACGAGCGTGAGGTGGTGCTGAGCACGCGGGACGTCCTCTACGTGGGGGTGTTTGTGGAGGGGGCCGATGAGGACCAGCTCATCCTCATCGTCAATATGTGCTGGGCCACGCCGTCCCGCTACAGCAGCGACCGGCTCCGCTACATCATCATAGAGAGAGGGTAGGCGCAACATATATAAAGTACAAAATGTCTACGGCCAAAATAGCAAAATAGCACCCTATCCATTATTAGGACCACACCAACTTCTCCTTCTCTGTTTCCTAAGTTGTCCCAACATCAAGGACAACACCGTCGGCATGGCTGAGAACGGGGTGTCCCTCACCTGCCGCTTCCACGTCACCGTCTTCAAGTTCATCGGGGACTACGACGAGGTCCACCTCCACTGTGACGTGTCGCTGTGTGACCACGAGACCAATGCCTGCAAAGTGGTGAGGAGACCCTGAACACTGCACACTGAGCATGGTGGTGACCACTGAACACAGGTTCATATTACATCCGGAACCAGTTTAATCTGTCCAGGAAACCATCCCAAAGTGTTAATATGCGGCAAATGATAACAAATCTAACATATTGTGAAGCATGCTTACAATGGCTAAGCTTACAATGGCTACGTTATGCCACCTTATCACAAGTGTGTATGTCTGTGTGTGTGTGTGTGTGTGTAGAACTGTCCCCACAACAGGAGAATGTACTCAGACTACAGCGATCACAAGGAGAAGATTCTCACTGTAGGACCCATCAGAAGGAGAGGTACACATCAGTGTTGCCCTAGTGTGTGTGCGTGTACTGTATGCGTGTATGTAATACAGACACGTCGCCTTAGTGTGTGAGTGTGTGTGTGTGAATAGTCTGTGTCTGTTGTCCAAGTGCTACATCTGCATGCATTATGTGTGAGTTTGTGTAAATACCAGTATGTGTGTGATTCACAATTTTGTGTTTATATCAGAGTCGGACTGGTGTGAGGTGGGTAACGGAGGCTGTGAGCAGATCTGCACCAGTAAAAGGATGGGAGCTATGTGTAGCTGTGTGACTGGGATGCTGCAGCGGGACGGCAAGAGCTGTCAAGGTATACACACATCATCCTCTCACATCTATACAGTGCTAATAAATAATATGGGTCATTCTACGAATAGAGTGCCTTTAAGGTAGTGTAATTTTGTTAAAAATACATTTATTTCACCTAATTTTAACATTCTGTCATAAAGAGCAACTTCATAAAAACATGTTTCCCATCTCAAGAGGTTCAATTAAGAAAAATGACTATAAAAGTGACTAAGGTTGCACATTTCCAGAAATCCCGGTTGGAATATTCTCGGAATCAGAAGGGAATAAGCAAGAAAAATGGAATCCTCAAATCAGGATTTCTGCATAACCTGGGAATTTTGCAAAAGAAAAAGGAAGTACACTGTACCAGAGTTGGGGTCAATTCCATTTCAATTGACTGAGGTGAAAAGGAATTGATCCCACGCACTGTATAGTAGGCACATACTGTGTCTTAATTTTGAAGGTACTTAAAGTTCCTTCAGAAAGTATTCACAGCCCTTGACTTTTTCCTAATTTTGTTGTGTTACAGCCTTAATTTTACATGTGTTAAATTGAGAGTTTGTGTCATTGAGCATGGTGAAGTTATTAATTACATTTTGGATGGTGTATCAATACACCCAGTCACTACAAAGATGCAGGCGTCCTTCCTAACCTGGTTGCCGGAGAGGAAGGGAACCAACCACTCTGGGAGTTCACCATGAGGCCATTGGTGACTTTAAAACAGTTTAATGTCTGTGATAGGAGAAAACTGACTGAACAACATTGTAGTTACTCCACAATACTAACCTAATTGACAGAGTGAAAAGAAGGAAGCCTGTACAGAATAAAATATTCCAAAACAACCATCCTGTTTGCAACAAGGCACTAAAGTAATACTGCAAAAAATGTGGCAAAGTAATTAACTTTTTGTCCTGAATACAAAGTGTTATGTTTGGGGCAAATCCAATACAACACATTACTGAGTACCATTCTCCATATTTTCAAGCATAGTGGTGGCTGCATCATGTTATGGGTGTGCTTGTAATCGTTAAGGACTGGGGAGTTTTTTCAGGATTAAAAAGAAACGGAATGGAGCTAAGCACAGGCAAAATCCTACAGGAAAACCTGGTTCAGTCTGCTTTGGTATTTGGTATATTTTGTTATTTTATTAGCTGCATCTACTCTTCCTGGGGTCCACACAGAACATGAAACATGACATAATATAGAACATTAATAGACAAGAACAGCTCCCCAACACTGGGAGATGAATTCACCTTTCAGCAGGACAATAGCCTAAAACACAAGGCCAAATATACACTGGAGTTGCTTACCAAGACGACATTGAATGTTCCTGAGTGGCCTAGTTGCAGTTTTGACTTAAATCAGCTTGACAATCTATGGCAAAACTTGAAAATGGCTGTCTAGCAATGATTAAAAACCAACTTGAAGAATTTAAAAGAATAATGTGCAAATATTGTACAATCCAGGTGTGCAAAGCTCTTAGAGACTTACCCAGAAAAGCTCACAGCTGTAATCGCTGCCAAAGGTGATTCTAACATGTATTGATTCAGGGGTGTGAATACTTATGTAAATGAGATATTTCTGTATTTAATTTCCAAAACATTTGCAAAACATATTTTCACTTTGTCATTGTGGGGTATTGGGTGAGATTCCCTTTTGAATTCAGGCTGTAACACAACAAAATGTAAAATAAGTCAAGGGGTGTGAATACTTTCAGAAGGCACTGTACAAGTAAGTGATGTGTGGCGCGTGACAAGCACAACACAGTTTGCATGTGACTTCCTCCTCGTTGCACCTCAGTGCTCCCCTTTTGTGAAACCCTAAACCGTCATGATGCACACGTATAGTCTTCATGTGGCCCATGCTGCCCATCTCACGGTTTACAACTCAGTAAACCCTAGCTGCAAGGCAAGTAGGGGACAGTATTACCTCCTAACTATAGCATAGAGATGCCCTGTTACAAAGACAACCAGATCACGACTTGGAGGAGTATTCCCATTCTGATCAGAGATGCGCTAGAAAGTTACATTTTACAGTATTTTACAATATTGTTTTACAGTATTTACAGTACTTTTCCCACTGGTATTAACTTGGTATTTACTAGGAAATTATGTGGTATCAATGGTACTTTCTTGTTCTTGTGTCATTCCACAAAATGATTGCCTTTTGCGTCCCTTTGATATTTTAAGTAGAACTTGCGCACCAATATTTAATTTTAAAAGCCTGTTATATTCAATTAAGTGTCCTTTTAATATAGACCACATGGAGAATTCAATAAATACATTTTTAATATGGATAAAGACTTCCTAAAGTGCCAAAATCCAGCATTTCCTCAGTGCACTCTCTGTGACATCCAGGAAGATTTTAACCCACTTAACCCTTACATTTCTCAAAATTGTCACCATGATTGTAAAGCCCTAGTTATTTTGTTGCTTTAGCAAAGTCATTTCTGAAAATGTGATTAGTAATTCATTTGAAGGTTAAAAAAAACCTGCCCCTTATTTTAAGGTCAACCCTGTTACATGAACTGTACTCTTGTTTTAATATAGTGAAACTATTCCTTCAAAGTGAACATCTAATAGTCAAATCATAGTATAAAAGCAGGTGAGATGGTTCTACTCTTTTTGGCCATTTTGTGGTAGAAAACCGAGTGGGTCGAGCATAACACATCAACCCTGTGGATAGATGGACAGGCTAGAAATGTTTTAACAATTCATTTTTTGAATGAAGCTTGCATTCAATTGCCCCTCTCTGTTGCACACAACAAGAGTCCACTTCCGCTGTCAGAAGGGGATTTATAGGGTTGAGTAAATTGTCAACCCTGTTACGGTCAACCCTGTTACTTTATTTGGCACTTAATTGGCACTTACTGTACTATAGTATTTTTGTGTGTTTTTTATTAAGTTGAACATTTGCTCTTTATTAAAGAATGTTAAAATTTGGTGAAATCAAAAGTAATTTTTCACCAAGTTACAGAACTCAAAAGGCACAAAATTGGTGGAACCACCCACTTACAGTGGGGGAAAAAAGTATTTAGTCAGCCACCAATTGTGCAAGTTCTCCCACTTAAAAAGATGAGAGAGGCCTGTAATTTTCATCATAGGTACACGTCAACTATGACAGACAAAATGAGAAAATTCCAGAAAAAAATCCAGAAAATCACATTGTAGGATTTTTTATGAATTTATTTGCAAATTATGGTGGAAAATAAGTATTTGGTCAATAACAAAAGTTTCTCAATACTTTGTTATATACCCTTTGTTGGCAATGACACAGGTCAAATGTTTTCTGTAAGTCTTCGCAAGGTTTTCACACACTGTTGCTGGTATTTTGGCCCATTCCTCCATGCAGATCTCATCTAGAGCAGTGATGTTTTGGGGCTGTCACTGGGCAACACAGACTTTCAACTCCCTCCAAAGATTTTCTATGGGGTTGAGATCTGGAGACTGGCTAGGCCACTCCAGGACCTTGAAATGCTTCTTACGAAGCCACTCCTTCGTTGCCCGGGCGGTGTGTTTGGGATCATTGTCATGCTGAAAGACCCAGCCACGTTTCATCTTCAATGCCCTTGCTGATGGAAGGAGGTTTTCACTCAAAATCTCACGATACATGGCTCCATTCATTCTTTCCTTTACACGGATCAGTCGTCCTGGTCCCTTTGCAGAAAAACAGCCCCAAAGCATGATGTTTCCACCCCCATGCTTCACAGTAGGTATGGTGTTCTTTGGATGCAACTCAGCATTCTTTGTCCTCCAAACACGACGAGTTGAGTTTTTACCAAAAAGTTTTATTTTGGTTTCATCTGACCATATGACATTCTCCCAATCCTCTTCTGGATCATCCAAATGCACTCTAGCAAACTTCAGACGGGCCTGGACATGTACTGGCTTAAGCAGGGGGACACGTCTGGCACTGCAGGATTTGAGTCCCTGGCGGCGTAGTGTGTTACTGATGGTAGGCTTTGTTACTTTGGTCCCAGCTCTCTGCAGGTCATTCACTAGGTCCCCCCGTGTGGTTCTGGGATTTTTGCTCACCGTTCTTGTGATCATTTTGACCCCACGGGGTGAGATCTTGCGTGGAGCCCCAGATCGAGGGAGATTATCAGTGGTCTTGTATGTCTTCCATTTCCTAATAATTGCTCCCACAGTTGATTTCTTCAAACCAAGCTGCTTACCTATTGCAGATTCAGTCTTCCCAGCCTGGTGCAGGTCTACAATTTTGTTTCTGGTGTCCTTTGACAGCTCTTTGGTCTTTGCCATAGTGGAGTTTGGAGTGTGACTGTTTGAGGTTATGGACAGGTGTCTTTTATACTGATAACAAGTTAAAACAGGTGCCATTAATACAGGTAACGAGTGGAGGACAGAGGAGCCTCTTAAAGAAGAAGTTACAGGTCTGTGAGAGCCAGAAATCTTGCTTGTTTGTAGGTGACCAAATACTTATTTTCCACCATAATTTGCAAATAAATTCATAAAAAATCCTACAATGTGATTTTCTGGATTTTTCTTCCTCAATTTGTCTGTCATAGTTGATGTGTACCTATGATGAAAATTACAGGCCTCTCTCATCTTTTTAAGTGGGAGAACTTGCACAATTGGTGGCTGACTAAATACTTTTTTTCCCCCACTGTATACAACACAATTGGTAACTACTTGTTACCAAATCAATCTTCATGAAACAAGCACGTAAATCATTAATACTGTATTGTTACCAATTTACCGTCTACCTTTTAAGTAATGCCTGGTTATTTCGGTACCATAAAGTAAAATACTACCAAAAAATCATGTTTGCTCCCAAAACCACCGGGGTTCTCTTCTATCTCATCTGACCTTTTATTCTACCCTTCATAAGACGTTCTATTTTTTTATTCCCGCCATGCAGCTGTCAGCTCCAGCGTTGACCTACGACCCCTTGTTCTCCCTCTGGCTCTTAGCACTGTGGTCTCCATGCTCCTCACTCACACACACAATTCCCTCTTCTCCTAATCCTGGGCGGACAGTCAGAGAGAGCGAGGAGGGAGAGAGAGACAGATAAAAAGAGAAGAGGAGAGCAGTATTACACGAAAAACAGCAAACCAGAGGAGAGCAGATATCTATACTTTCTACTCACTGTCACAGAGACTGCCACAGAAACCAATCACAGAGCAGAGAGGCACTTCCCTCCGAATGCACTAAACAAAAACAACAACAACTCACAAGACTGGGGCACTGGATCACAATGGAAAAAGCCCTCCAAACTACTCGTTCTATTCATGTAAACTTTAGCTAGACAGCAGAAAGTCGGTATATTTCATTTAACAAACAGTTTAGTGAGTTAGTACTAGATAGTGGGTTTTTTTTATGAGAGGTGATGGCATAGTTTGCCCTACATTTATCTTTGATGGCAAAGCTTGGTTGACAAAATGTTTTTAAAATAATTGTATCATTATTTATGTGTGAAGTCAGAGGCTGTGTATGTGAATCGATTACCTGTTCCCTTCTCAGCCCCTAATCCCCTAATCATAAATTACAGTATGAGTCTCAAAAACATACAAAGTAATGCTCTGGTGGATGTGCCTTGACTACCAAAGTGTTTGGTCATGTCCCACTGACATTTTACGTGCCTCCTTCATGGCCTACCTTAATCAGAAACAGTTCTAAAATTACTCATATGTTTCAAATGATACTCTCAGAAACATTTGATTGAAGAAAATGAATATTGTGAAGGTGAAATTAAGTCTCAAAAATGTATTTTTGCTTATTTTTTGCACAACATACATTTTGTAAAGACTGATGTAGAACCAGTTCTCCAGACCAATATCATTCTGTGCCTACCTATACTGTTCTCAGCATGTGAACAGGTAATTTTTTTGTACAATGAATGACACAGAAGGAAGCTCACCCCACTCCATATAGCTAGCAATAACAATTTCATTTTAGAAAATATTGGAGTATCTCATAACATTTTCATTATGTACAAATATACATATTGTTAATACAGGCTTTTTTATGTGATATTGTATGAATTTCAAATGAACTTTAAATATCAAGTTTGGATAATTAAGTGACCAAAAAAGGCAGTAAGACGAGAGGCAACCATCGCATTTTAGAGAAGTAATACAATTTCCAGAATAAACTGAATGGTTCTCATAATGACCATTTTGTCTCTGTTATGTGAATGTTTCTTAAGAAGTTGCACCTACATGCATTCATGCTTCAATGATTTTATAAAACCCATAAACTCAGTTAATTATATGGTAAACATTTGTAAAAGAGCTACAAATGTTAACATGCTTTCCGGTAATTTGACGTTGTACAGGTGTGTACAACCCATGGTGCTGGAGATCAGAAGTGACAGGTGAGTGAGAAAGGTAGGTCAATATTGCCAGGATCAGAGTACGGACCGGGCACGTCCCGGGCACCCTGACCTCCAGGTGGCCCTCATTGATTTTGTTAGTCACTCTCACTCAGATATAATTAACATGGCATAAGTCAGGCAAAGTGGGTAGAATGGCAGGAAATTAGCTTTACAACTGCAAACATTTATCTCTGCCCCATAGCAAAATGAATAGAATTGCACATTCGTTATAACATTGCAAAATGTTCTTTCCTCCCCATGGCAAAATGTGTACAATTGCAGGAAATTAACTTTTAAACGTTTTCTTCCCCTTGGTGGGGGGGCCCCCAACCAAATCTCGCTTAGGGCCCCCAAAAGGCTAAAGACGGTTGTGCATATCATACTAATTTAAGTGTCCTGGATTTACGTTTACTATGTTAGGTCGAGTCTATGAGATCAGGCTGGAATAACATGTGTTTCAGTAAGGTTGGCTTCTTAGCGTTCATAGCCTGTACCGCAGAAATTGAGCATAAATCACAGAAAATAGATTTTGTGGTGGCAGCTGCAGAGAAGTACTTGGGTGTACAAGATTTTACTGCAGAGGGCTTATAAGGTGTGTTGAACAATAGTGTCCCGTCCTCCCAGACTGCCTGCCTGGTTTAGGATCAGATAGGACCAAGTAGTCGAATAGTGGTGAGGTTTTAATGGGTGTAGCGTTAGTTGGTAGGGCAATTTTTCTTCCCTTTTCCCCGTCCTTTTCCCCTTCCCTTTTGTGCCATAAAGTGTATTGAATTCACACTCCAGGTCCCGGTTTCCCAAAAGCATCTTAACACTAAGTTCATCGTTAGAACCTTCGTAGGAGCATCGTTAAATCTCTGAGCTGTTTCCCAAAACCATCGTCATTAATGTTGCAGTTAAAAACGCTAGTAGGCCTAAACTAACGCCTGCCTCCAGGGATGGGCAAAAATTACAAAATACAATTACAAAATACAGGCACAAAATACCATAAAGATCAATGTATCAAAAGTAACTAATGTATTTAATTAAAATACATGTATTTTGTATTGTAAAATTCAAAAATACATTTGCAAGTAGCCAGCACGAACATCAACAACATTCTCAGTAATGGTTAAGTCTCCTAAATGACCAAAATATAAATGTATATGTGAAAATGAACATACCAAAATAAACATCAAAGCACACTGGGTTATTGGCCTTGTTTTGGGTCAGAGCTCATTAGAGTAATACTCAGCATGCTTTGCAATTGCTCATTTTTACATTTACACTGAACAAAAATATCAATGCAACATGTAAAGTGTTGGTCCCATGTTTCATGAGCTGAAATAAAAGATCCCAGAAATCTTTCATAGGCACAAAAAGCTTATTTCTCTCAATTTGTTTGCAAAAATGTGTTTACATTCCTTTTAGTGAGCATTTCTCCTTTGTCAAGATAATCCATCCACCTGACAGGTGTGGCATATCAAGAAGCTGATTAAACAGCCTGATCATTACACAGTGCTGGGGCCAATAAAAGGCCACTCAAAAATGTGCAGTTTTGTCACACAACACAATGCCACAGATGTCTTAAGTTTTGAGGCAGCGTGCAATTGGCATGCTGACTGCAGGGATGTCCACCAGAGCTGTTGACAGATAATTAAATGTTAATTTTTCTACCATAAGCCGCCTCCAACGTCGTTTTAGAAAATTTGGCAGTACGTCCAACCGGCCTCACAACCACAGACCATGTGTATGGCGTTGTGTGGGTGAACGGTTTGCTGATGTCAACGTTGTGAACAGAGTGCCCCATGGTGGCAGTTGGGTTATGATATGGGCAAGCATAAGCTACAGACAATGAACACAATTGCATTTTATCGATGGCAATTTGAATGCACAGAGATACCGTGACATTCATCCGCCGCAATCACCTCGTGTTTCAGCATGATAATGCACGGCCCCGTGTCACAAGGATCTGTACACGATTCCTGGAAGCGGAAAATGTCCCAGTTCTTCCATGGCCTGCATACTCAACAGACATGTTACCCATTGAGCATATTTGGTATGCTCTGGATCAACGTGTACGACAGCGTGTTCCAGTTCCCGCCAATATCCAGAAACTTTGCACTGGCATTGAAGAGGAGTGGGACAACATTCCACAGGCAATAATCAACAGCCTGATCAACTCTATGCGAATTAGATTTTGTCGTGCTGCATGAGGCAAATGGTGGTCACATCAGATACTGACTGGTTTTCTGATCCACGCCCCTACCTTTTTTTCAAGGTATCTGTGACCAACAGACCAACAGATGCATAGCAGATGCTCTTATCACACCGTAGTGCTATCAGACTTCTGATACCAATGCAGGGTGAAAGGGGGGCCACAAAATGTGAACAGCTATAAAAAATAAAAATAAACTTGTATAGAAAAGTATTTTGTATTAAGAAAATACAAATTACAGTATTTTGAAAATACTAAATAAAGTGTAGTTCAACCCAGTGTCAAATTACAAAATGCTGCCCATCTCTGCCTGCCTCTGACCACTGGTGGAACAGCTAAGTGGGTCGTTAGATGCTTTTTTGCCCTCCTGCATAATTTTATAAACAGAAGATCTCCAATAAACAAAGAATCACATGGTTTATCCGCCTCTCTGTTACCACAGATAACTTCAGAACGATGTTGACTACAAACACAAAGATACAAACAAGAGACATATTAAAAAAATGCTTCAAATTAAAACCGAGATGACTGCATTAAAATATAAATACAGTAGGCGATAGGCCTATTTCAATCATATTGAAATACATTTAATGTTCAATCAATTGAGTTCCATTTTGCTACATGCATAGGTTACTGTCTGTAATTTTTCTCAATATATTTCATGTGTAGCCTAACAAGTGCGCAATGATGTGCCAAATCTTGATTTAGTGCATTATTACATGGGGTGTAAGCATTAGAATTAGCCGCCTCAATATTTGCAGCCATAGGTGATATCTTTCTAGGAGCTGATCCTTCGTCAGTTTTGTGGAATAATTATAATGTTAAGGTAAGATTTGAATGGAGAAAGCTGATACAAGAGCAGCTGTGTTTTGGGAAACGTATGTTACAGTGGCTTGTGAAAGAATTCACCCCCCTTGGCATTTTTTCTATTTTGTTGCCTTACAACCTGGAATTAAAATGGATTTTTTGGGGGGTTTGTATCATTTGATTTACACAACATGCCTACCACTTTGACGATGCAAAATATTTTTTTATTGTGAAACAAACAAGAAATAAGACCAAAAAACTGAACTTGAGCGTGCATAACTATTCACCCCCCCAAAGTCAAAACTTTGTAGAGCCACCTTTTGCAGCAATTACAGCTGCAAGTCTCTTGGGGTATGTCTATAAGCTTGGCACATCTAGCCACTGGGATTTTTGCCCATTCTTCAAGGCAAAACTGCTCCAGCTTCTTCAAGTTGGATGGGTTCCGCTGGTGTACAGCAATCTTTAAGTCATACCACAGATTCTCAATTGGATTGAGGTCTGGGCTTTGACTAGGCCATTCCAATACATTTAAATGTTTCCCCTTAAACCACTCAAGTGTTGCTTTAGCAGTATGCTTAGGGTCATTGTCCTGCTGGAAGGTGAACCTCCGTCCCAGTCTCAAATCTCTGGAAGACTGAAACAGGTTTC